ATATATATATATATATATATACTAGTTTTTGCTCGCGACTTCGTCTATGTAAGTTTCAGAATTAGAAATGTATAAACGGGTGAACTCTGTTCCTTAAAGACAGTAAATAATATTTTGTATTTGATCAACAATTTACTTTTCTTTTTCAATCGTATGTAAAGTATCCTATATCCTTTCTTCTTCTTCTACCTGGCAACCTCCCAGCTACAGCCAGGGTCTGCCTTACATGTTGTGAATAGTTTTTGGCTAATTGTTTTTACGACCGGCCGCCTGCCTGACATCAACCCTCTTTTTGGGAATCAACATTAATCAGTGATGTCTAAATACTATTAGAAAGTACATATGATTCGGAAAAATCACATTGGTACTTGCCCGGGTCAGGATCGAACCCGCGCCCTCGGTGACGAGAGGCGGGCCCATAACCACTGAGCCAGCACTGACTTCTCCTATATCCTTTCTATGTTCTAATCTATCTCTCCACCAATCTTCATCCAAACCCGTACAGTAATTCTTGAGTTATAAATAGTGTAACTAACACGACTTTCTTTTATATACACACATTATTCGTTTCATTCTCAAAATAATTCAAAATTCCAAGCGTAGAAAGAACGAAATATAGTTTTTATGTAATATATGAAAAATCACATTTAAAACTATATAATAATCTAGAAATAATCAAATTGAAATAGCAAATAAGGTATCCCTACTAATATTATAAATGCGAAAATAACTCTGTCTGTCTGTTACGCTTTCACGGCTAAACCACTGAACTGATTTTAATTAAATTTGGTACAGAGATAGAGTTGACCTTGAGAAATAACATAGAATAGTATCTATCCCAGACTTTTGAAAGGTTCTCTTGGAAACGCGATATAACCGAACTCCACGCGGGCGAAGCTGCGGACGGAAAGCTAGTATAAAAATATTTTACTTCATATAAAGAGTTCCGAATAATGTTGTAACTAGTTTTATTATACATGTTATGCTTACCACGAGTCTGCGTTTAACTACAAACGGTACTTTCCCCGTTTACGTTAAGAGACGATACCTCTCATCATTCCATGTATTCACTGTCAACGCTACGTATGTAGTAACGCAAACTTGTCCTAATAGTGTTATTTAATATGTAATTCATCAGGAAAATTAATAAATAAAAATAAAGAAAGTTTTATTATCATATAAAATGGCCTACTTAGCAATTATTAAGAAATGTAAAACAAAATACCTACCACAATTAATTTTCATTTATTATATTTCGAGTGAGATATTATCTCGAGTTATCGCAGTACAGACATGACGTACATCATTATGGAGAGCTGGTCTTATATTGATAGACTGGTGTTACACGAACATAGAGAACAGCGAGGATACTGACTTACAAATCAAGGAAACCGCATCGAAATCGGTCCATCCGTTTACGAGATACGATGTCATACACACAGTGATGACAAACGAAACACCCTTTATATGTCAGGGTTTGCAACCCCTGTAGTATAAAGTATTTCATTTATGACGTCACTCTCATTACAACTGCAACTAGAAGTAATATATCAATACTATTAATAGTTCATGATACTTTAATAATATTCATTTAAAAAATATACGAAGATATAGAAAAATTAAATAAATTTGTATTATTTTTTCATGGAGATGGTTTGAGCATTAATCACCACGCTCGCTCAAGACGGGTTGGTGATTTCAAACTTATAATTGTGATATAAGTCCATGTTCCCTCATATATTCCTTCATCAATCAGTGATGTCTAAATACTCTTATAAAGTACATATGACTCGGAACAATCACATTGGTACTTGCCAGGATCGAACCCGCGCCCTCGTGCATGAGAAGCGGGCCTTTTAACCACTAGGCGAATAAAATACCTACTAGAAATGTCACCGGATTTGTCTGCTAAAAAAAGATAAAATAAAATATCCTATGTCCTTTCCATGTTCTAATCTATCTCTCCACCAATCTTCATCCAAACCCGTAGAGCCGTTCTTGAGTTATATATAGTGTAACTAACACGACTTACTTTTATCTTTATATATATATATATATATATATATATATATATATATATAATTCTTCTGTGAGTGTGTATGTCACTGAACTTCTCTCAAACGGTTGGACCGATATTGATGACATTTTTTGTGTGTGTTCAAGGGGATCTGGGAATGGTTTAGATTCACAATTTTGTCCACTGGACAATGTTTTTTTAATTAATTTTTAATTTATTAGTAGTTGTTCATATAAACGTTTTTTTTACATTAGATTTGACAACTAACTAATATGTCAATCATTCTGTCGCACTTCAAAACACGGAGACTTATGGCTTTAATAGGTAAACTCCAAAAATATAAATAAAAAAACGTAACAGATATTTCACCTTCTAGTATATATTGTATAGAATTTCTGGATACATCCAGTCCAATTGTTCTAGAGATTTGAGGGAACTAACAACTAGACAAATTATTTAATGAAAAGCTACTAATTCTAATTATCAATCACTCACTTATATGTATATAAAAGAAAGTCGTGTTAGTCACACTATTTATAACTCAAGAACGACTAGTAATATGGCTGAAAATTTGTGGAGAGATAGATTAGAACATAGAAAGGACATAGGATAATTAATTCTGTTCGATCGAAAAAGAAAAAATAACTTAATAAACTCCAATATCTGGTTATTTACGTCCTCTAAGACGGAATAGAGTTCGCCCGGTCAGATATACATATATTACTAATGACGAAATTAAAGCGGACGAAGTCACGGGCAAAAACTAGTGTGTATATATATATATATATATACATATATATGTATCATTCGGCTTGTAAAACAAATAACTGGAAAAGTTTCAATCGCCGCTGGAGTTTTCATTGTTAAAAATTTAGCCCGCACTTTGTTCTAACCTGTACATTTTGATGATATTGTTACTCTAACATACATACATACAGAACTTAGTACGAGTAAGGATAGTAAACGTAGATACGTGCAGTATTGTCGTCTTAACTTGATAATGTCTGTATTTTAGTATCAATTTTATTAAATGTATGTACAGTTTTTAATATGAAAATTAAACTAATATATTAGGATTACTACGCGTATTTTAATATACTTAAAAACTACATACTCCCGACGTTTCGGTTACTTTGCAGCAACCGTGATCATTAAGACGAGATAATGTAAGTAAAAATATTAAAATATAAGTATATGCGAATAATATTAGTTTCATTTAAATGAATACTCGCGAAAGTCTTAGATCTCAATATATTTTAATAAAGTTTAAAAGATTACAAGGTACAAACAGACAGACAAAAAAGCAGTTTAAAATCACATTTCTAAGTTAACCATTACTTATTATACTAGCTTTCCGCCCGCAGCTTCGCCCGCGTGGAGTTCGGTTATATCGCGTTTCCAAAAAACCTTTCAAAAGTCTGGGATAAAAACTATCCTATGTTCTTTCTCAAGGTCAACTCCATCTCCGTACCAAGTTTCATTAAAATCAGTTCAGTGGTTTAGGCGTGAAAGCGTAACAAACAGACAGAGTTACTTTCGCATTTATAATTTTAGTAGAGATAATTCGGTTCAAACAGTAACATATCCGTACTCGATTACGTCGGAACTAAAAGTGGGTTATGTTTTACATGTATGTGTATATGTATGTTCCCTCCTAACTGCTTTAAAATAAGATACTTGGTGCCAAAGATTCATCTCGTCTATTGATGAAGATGCTGTAAAGGAACTGAAACGCTATCGTGTAGATATAGAATTATGAAAAATATATACAGGGTGACTGGTGAATTACTATCAATATTTAAGGAGAATACTCGGTACATGATTCTCATTCGAATTATGTAAAAAAAAATAGGTACTTAATTTTTGACAAAATTTCCGTATAAATAAATAAAGTGTGGACACGAAAAAAATAATTTCAATTAAGTTAGAACTTCTAGATTACAATAAAGTTAGCTTAGAAATGAATAGCTTTTTTACCGACTTCGTCTGTTTATAATGAAAAGAATAAATCTATTTCTTCTTCTACCTGGCAATTTTCCAGCTTCAGCCAGGGTCTGCCTTACATGTTGTGAATAGTTTTGGCTAATTGTTTTTACGACCGGCCGCCTGCCTGACATCAACCCTCTTTGGGAATGCATTAATCAGTGATGTCAAAATACTCTTATAAAGTACATATGACTCGGAAAAATCACATTGGGACTTGCCAGGATCGAACCCGCGCCCTCATGCATGAGAGGCGGGCCTTTAACCACTAGGACACTACTGACTACATGGAATGATGAGAGGTTTCGTCTCATACTAGTCGCATATTATACTATAGTCTTGATGTTAATTCTTACTACGAGTTTTCGAGTTTACCAAAACAAACTTACTGTACATATGAGTAAAGACGAGAATTAATAAGTTTTATAAATTTTACCAAAATTATATATTATATGAAAAGTATTATAGAAATCTGTAGAGATTTACATAATGTTATATAAATCTGTAAAGATTTCAAATATGTATTTAAAATGTTCACGAATACACAACACTCCTTTATTGTAAGTCGGTTGAATTAAAGAAAATAATTCAATTAATATTAATTTAAAACTCAAAATAAAGTGAAATATAAAATCGAACCTAGGACTCGATAGATGTAAGAAAAAATTCATTAAATGAAACTATACCTATGTTTATGTTATGTAGACGGACGTTTAAAAAACCGCTCGTGTTAAAAAACGCTCGTTTTTTCTATTATTTTGTTTTAAATCGCGATCCTTTTTTATTATTTTCGATAAATATAATTATTATTAAGCCTGTCTCCATTCTCCTTTAAATACGGGTCCAGACGTATACACAGAAAGAAAACCATGAAACAGTCTTAATAAAATTAACTTTTCATTATAACTTAGTTTAAGAATCCTTGTTTTATTTGTATGAATGTATTTGGTTGTTATGTCATCCTCACTGTAAATATAGCCACGTGTGTCGGTGGTTGCAGATGTCTGTGGGCCTGCAGCGGCGCGTGCCGGCCCTGGACGAGGCGGGGGGCGGAGTGCCGGCCGCGTGGAAGTCTAGCGAGCCCCCGTTCCCGGCCTTCGCGCCGCCCGCGGGCTCCCCCGCCGGCCCGGCGTTCGCGGCCTCGCCGGCCCCCTCCACGCCGGGCCCGGGCCCCGGCTTCTCGGGGCCCTACGCCGCCTCGGGGCCCTTCGGCAGCCCGTCCGCGAGGCCCGGCTCCGGCGGCGGCTTCCCCCCCGGCCCGCAGCAGCACTTCGGGCCGGGCTTCGCGCCCCCCGGCTCGCCGTTTCATCCGCATCCGCCGCACCCGATGCCGCCTCATCCTCACATGATGGCCCCCCTCCCGCCACCTGTGGACAGGTCAGTCTACATCAAGATACCATAACGACTACCACTACTGAGACTTATGATCGAGAATCTTCGTATTAAAAAAAAACTATGACATACTTCATTCACCTTCAGGTGTAGATATATCGCCAGCTTGTGGCGTTCTTATTAATTAATTTTATACATATTATTAATTTAAACATCGATTGTTTTCTCAATCAACATAACATACAACCGAAAGCTTCCACGTCCCAATTAACACTAATCAAACAATTCCAAATTCTACAAGCGTGCATAATTCAAAAATGGAACACATTTTCAAATTCCGAACACCGAACGTATTATATATTATCTGTGAAGAAAAAAAAAAGGCAACGCTGCACGACGGCGGTAAAAATCGCAAAATTATCCTCCGAGTGAAATAAAACGCGCGCGTGTGTGCGTTAGACCTACGGCTGTGTGTGTGTGTGTGTGTGAGCTATAAACTGCGCCGGTGTGAGTGCACAAATAAATGTAGGTGAACGCTGTGTAGGTATATATTTCGTGAAGCGGCGGTACAGTCGCCGACGGAAGTGTTAATTAAATTTTTAATTATTTATATTTTTTTTATGTTACTTAATTTGCCACTTGTATATAAAATGATTTTAAGTAGTAAATCGTTGTTTTATAATATAATATTATTTATTTATATATAATAAAGGTGATTTGAAACTTTCTTAATAAGTTAAAAGTTTTTATGTACTGTCAGTTAGACCGCCGACCTTGTTACAGATGGTTCATGAGTGAAGTAGACAAGAAACAAATCCTGAATCCATATTACAGTTATTAAAAAAAAATTATATTTAAAACAAAAATCTATTTTTCATGATGAAGCTATGTCCAAATGTATTAATCGAAATTGTAATTTAGATTATCACTTGGCACGGTATATCCTTCTTCAATGTCAGGCAGACTTTCAATCTCTTGCCTACAAGTCTAAAATAATTCACATTTCTAAATATTTTCGTAATCATTATTTGATTCATTAATTAACCATTTTCCCAGCCGATAATACTAGGTCAGTCATATTTCATTTTCAAGTTTTTCCACTGACTTATAATTTATCAATTACTAGATTTAAGACGAGTATATTAGTTAGTTAGTTAGTCTAATTTTAAATAAATCTATTTCTTAATTTTCCATATATAAAAAAAAAATATTTATTTTTTTGCTAACCGTTCCGTGCTCGACTGTACCGGCCCACCCCGAGTACCAGCTACCTATCTATATCTATACCGCCGTACCGCTCCAGCCGGTGTACTGTGACCTCCCCCTCCCCCCCCCTCCCTGTATACCTCAGGCCCGCGGCGTGACGTCACAGGGCTCAGCGTACACCGGCCGCCCCGTACATAAGTAAAGACTATAGACTCGCCCGCTCGAGTGTCGTCTGCCCGCGCTCCGATCAAAATCATTCCAAATACGAAATGTTATGACGTTCTCTTGATTTTTTTTTTTCAATAATTCTATATTCAGCCAGTATTCTATTCTTGAATTTCTTTTTTTATTTATAATATTTCTGACCAGTTTGAATTTGATTTCGATTTTTTTTTCTGCCATACAGCTTTATGTTCGACCTCCATGGAGTAAAATATTTTTTTATTATAATGTATATATTATTATGTATAGCTCTACACGGGACTCGAACCCGTGCTCCATTATTTTTTATTTCATTACACACAGTGCGACCGCCGTGGGTGTACGTCCCCAGCCGGGGGTGAGGCCACGTGCACCCTCTTTAAGTATTCATACCTAAATATAGGTTACCAACGGCATTAATATATAATAATTATCACAGATTATAAAATATATATATATGATGACGTCACGAATACTAGATCGATTTCGATGGGATTGTAATATCTTATATAGAATAATTTGTTCATATATATTATTATATATGAATTGTTCCTACCGTCATCCCTTTAAGCCACCCTCTAATATTAACAAATTCTCTCTCTCTTTCTATATATATGTCTCTCCCTCTCTCTTCATGCAAATGAAAAATCAATGTACCCTCCAAGTGTTCAAACATACTTTGACAGTATTTTTTTTGTTGTTGTTAATAATTTTATTCATTTTTTTCTGTATGTATGTTGATCTGTTCCTATGTATGTATAGAACTTTTTTTTATTATGTATATAACTGTAAAAGCGCTTACATTTTATAAGCATTGAAATATAAAATTTTGATTGTATGTTAAAAATAAAGTTATATACAAAAGGTTACAGCATTTTCTATAAATCTTTATAAAATACAGATACATATAAGTGAAAGAAAAAAATTTAATTAATAAATTTGTTGCGAAAACCACCCTTAAATCGGCTCAGCCGTAGGTTCAAAAAAATATAATGATTTTTGTCTATGTACATATAATATTATGAAAAAAATTCTTTCTCACTAAAATCTTACTTTAACTTTGTAATTTACATTTTAAATATATAGTTGTAGATAATGTTTAATATTGTTGGAACGATCTTGATGGGAATTTCAGTTGAAATAGGTTTTATTAACGAAAACAGGTAAATGATTTTTCAAAAGCTAACATAGAAAGTAATGTCACGTACGAGAAAAAACTTTCTTTATATATTGTATTATGTATAAAACTAAACATATCTTTATATAATAAACTCATTATATATATATATATAATATACCTAGAATTCTTTTCACAATCTTACGTACTCGAGACGTAATAAAACTTTTCCCGCGCTTTTTATTTTTATAACAACCTCGTCAACATACAGCCGATATCATCAAAGAGGTTCTATTATATATAATAATTATATATATATTTTTTACTATTAATACCATAGTACGTAAATAATTATGACGCATATGTATTTACAATATAACAAATATTATTTTCTTATACATATATGTATATATTTTATAAAAGAGGTTTTATTGAAATAATATATTAATTTAAAATAAACTTGTGCTGGCCGAAAAAAAAAATAGTTAACTTTTAAACTTGGAATTCCGTAAGGTCAGTACGTACACAAATAATTATTATTGTTTCAATAGTATAGTACGTGTGTGTGTGTGTGTGTGTGCGGTGTATAGTACGGATGGATAGTATTGAACCACTTATATAATATATAAATTATATAAAGGTCAGTTTTTTGAATATTCAATAATTATTATTAAACCATATTTTTTATATAGTATGTATTAAAAATGTTATATTATTTAAATCGGATCTCATTATATTTTTTAATTATCTTCTTACATTATATTTTGTATTTTAAGAACTCTACTGTTAATAAATATTTTAGTTAATATCAACAAAATCATCACCACTGACCAAGACGCACCGACCTGACTATAATACATCTAGCTGAACGTCACTCACACTAGTACATTTTATTGTCTTCACTCACACACACACAGCTTGTGTCTGTGTGTGTGAGTTCAACACGCTCGTACGCTCTACAAGCAGAAGGTGATAGCTGGCTTCTATAATGCATCTTTTTTTTTTCTATGTATTTTTCACGTATAACTCTGTATAGAGAAAATATATTTATATAATATATTAAAAAAATTCTATATATGTATAAATAAGTGATTTTAATATTTATATACTTATATATATATAATACGATCTACGTTTATTCCGACCATATCACTAATTACAATACCATATTAATTGATATGATACTAATTAATAATATTAATTCTTAATTCTATATATTTTTTATATAAAAAAAAATTGTATTTGTCACCATATCAATGTATCCCGTCCGTGTACTAATAATAATAATCGCGGCGTCGCTGTGTGTGTGTGCTGCGTGTGTGTGCGTGAAGCCCCGTTTGAATCATTCTTACACCGTTCGAGTCGACTCGCTCAAGTCATTTTTGTACTAAAATATTTTTTTTATATATATGAAATTTATTTATTAGGTTTTGGCTTGCTAAATAAAAATTAATTTACATGAAGTTGTAGTACTATCTTAAACTAGGAATGTTATAAATAATACTAAATATTATGTATATTATATTCATAGATATAACTATTTGTTACGACTTCGTTCATTGGACTTAGAGATTTATCTTACAGATGTGTACATAGTGTAAAATCAATTGAAATTTTTAATAAACATAGATTTATATGGTCACCTATATCTTATTAAAATATCTAATACCCATATAATTAGTGTAAATTATATATATTTTTTGTATCAAGTGATCTTTTCACGTGTCGTGTGTCGGTAAGACACTCGCCCGGTGTGAACGCACTCCGAACTGCTGATAGCCCCTTATCTCATCTACTACTACGTCAACAGCCCGCTACCGTCTCGCTCTAACGCACGACCAGCGGTATATCTCCGTCCCGCTCTAACGCACCGCTCGCTCCCTCTCTCTCCCGCTAATGAATTGAATCAACAACCTCTCGCTCGCACCCGATAGAGAGATGATCAGCGTTCCCTATTTGAATTTATTTCGAATTTGGAATTCGATTTTAGTGCATCAAATTGTATGTCGAGTTTGGAAAATCGATTTTTTTATTTTGTATCGTTTTTATTTTTTTATACTTGGATGATGTAATTATTTTTTAGTATTGAGTGAGGAGCCTGTAGATATCTTTTTACATGCTATTCATAAATATGTATATAACATAGGAATAAATTATATAAGAGCAGTTGCCAAACGTCCAACAAAATTTACTCTATAAAGCAAAAAATCTACAGAAAAAATTGTATCAAAAGTTCACAATGTATAAGAATAATTTAAAATTAAAAAATATATTATTAAGATATCTTTATAGAAGTTTGTTTCTTTCACTTGTAAAAAAATTTAAAAATGCCATCGAAATCGTAATAAGAAAAATATTCCCTTAAAAATCCATCATCACACAAAATCCTTATCGCACGACCAACAAAACTCGCATACTCTAAAAAACTAACTTTCAAATGAATACAGTTTTTTTTTTCATAACGTTATTTTATATATAGGAAGTTTCAAACAAAAAGTACATTTAGAAAGTGAGTGAAAGCGTTGGCTGGTGACTGAAGTGTGATGGCTCCAAGTCGTTACTCTTAGTACTCGCAAGGCTAGGCTCCAGAACATTCTGGAATTACAGATGTACTATTAGACAGCTTTTAGAGAGCTTATACGGAAATTTGGTCAAAAATTAAGTACCTATTTTTTTCACATAATTGGAATGAGAATCATGTCCCGAGTATTCTCCTTAAGTATTGATAGTAATTCACCAGTCACCCCGTATATAAGATTGTTATATACTTTATTATGGTCTATGTCTAACTTAGACTTCAATATTTATTACTTCTGTGTAATTTTTTAATGTTGTTGGTTCATTTATATTTATATATATAAATGTAAGTTTGGATTTAAATGACGCGTATTTAACCATGCCATATATTTAGCAAGTCAGGTGGATATTAAAAATATATATTATAAATTACGTTAATACAAACTAAATTCGCACTTCTATTTAGTTTAACTTAAAATTAAACTTCCTTAGATGCGAAACAAAATAAAATTACTTAGATATAAAATTAAATTATATAATTAGTTTTTATATACGTGTATTATTTTTATTTAACACCATAAATACTTGACCATCATTAAGTATACTTCGGCAGACCCAGTACATTTACTATCACTATACTAGATGCCTTTAATCATCAGCTGACTGTGGAACCCTGACCAGCACCTGTCTCACCGGTCCTCGCGGGTCCCCCGGCCGGCTGACCCCGGGCTCCATTAATCAATGTGACATAATCTAATCATATTAAACTTGCCGCCATTACGAGCCGAGCGTGGCCGAGCTTGGCCGACGATGGCCGAGCGACACGCGGCCGGCTCGTGGCACACTGGGTGATTTATATGTGTCAATGTTCTATTAAAAAGTTTTATGAGTGTTTTACATGTTCTTTACTAAAGAGTTGTAAGAAATAATCTGATTTAGATAAAATTCAGTGGTATTGTTTTTTGTGTTTACTTTCAATTTTGTAGTAACGTTAAAGTTTTCATTAGAGTTTTATTAGGTATGTAAAAAAATATTATTTTTCTAGTATCAAACTCTTCTAGTTTCTAGTTATTTTTCTAGTATAATCATCTCGACAACAATTACATATTTATACAAAATGTAACCTTGATAGAATTTATCTTTTAAAAGCTGAAAAAAATACACTGGGATCGTTAATACTTCGACAACCACTAATTTAAATAATAACAAAATGTTTTTTTTTCTTTTAAGAAGATAAAAGTTCAGGTACATACTCACTGCAATTTAAATTAATAAAAAAGTCAAAGAAGTCGGAACTTGTATAATTAATATTTTCAATTTTATTTTTCTTTGATTTATCTTTTCTTTTAATAGTAATTTGAAGAAGCTATCTAATTTCGTCATCCAAAAATTTTCTGACTATGTTTTTCATTACATAAGTGGATATTCGTGCCTTTTTTTTCTCGTTATCTTACATTCGATTTCTTTCTAAAATCCCTTATAAAACAAATGAATCAGGAACCATAATCTACTAGGTTGATTAATCCAAACTATATATTTTAAATACATTTTCTCCACACTTGTATGAACCAATATTAATTAATTAAGTCTTTTTGATTATTGTTGCATAGTAACCGATACGTTAGTAGTATGTAGTTTAAAATAATAAAAGACGTGTATTAATCCGAAAATATTAGTTTAATTTAAATGAATACTCTCTCAAGTCTCGATTCCATACCAAATAACAAATCTATCAATCTGTGTGATTCTCCCGGTGTGCCCCAAGCCTAACGTCGTCACCCGAGCGCGTCCGAGCCCAGCCGAGCTCTGCCGAGCGTCTGACAGCTCGTCACTCGTCAGTCACAACTCGGCACACTTCTATGTACCTACATAGGTGTACGTGGCTGTATTGCAATCAAAATTACGGAATCGATTCATTCCGCTGCACTAATCGATTATATTTATTCTAGTTAGCGATTATCGCCTCAATATCCTTGTAATAGGTGTTATTTTAGAATCTGCCAGCCGCACGTGTGGTACGCTGTTTACTTGCTAGAGTCATTGACACGGTTGACACACATTCCGTGAGTGACGGCTCGTCGGGACGGTTATTTCGCGAGTGATTCTCGTCTTATCAATCCTGATAACGGTACGCTCGCGGACACTTCCGCAGAGCGAGTGTATAGTGACGACGGTCTGTGCTTGTTATGTAGTTGTGTGGTTGTAATATAATATTTTATATTTTCAATGCGAAAATTCCGTTATATATGTATATAACATCAATGTTTATTTTTCCCGCTTCGTGAATGCCATCAGCGCCTCAATGACTATTTGGTATCGATTATTTTTTTTGCGCGCGTCGCGTACGTCACTAATCACGTTACATGAGAACCCCCTTTCACTTTTTTTTTTCAAATATCGAATCCATCGATCGATCAGCCAATCGGCTTTGGTTTTGAAGTAATATTCTAAATTCAAATTTCCATATTATAGACGAGTGAAAATTTTCACGGACACATCTGCCCGTTTTATTTATAGTACTGTTTGATTTGTGCCCGTAGTCCGTAGCTGAGCTACATATATACCATGTACACTATGTCCGCTAACAATATATAAGGTGTGTGTGTGTGTGTAGCGTCCTAACAATGTTATGTGTATGTGTGTGTGTGTGTAATGAACGCTCTATGTGCTGGGAAACAGTAAAAAGTATGGCGCGCGAGCGCACTGAGCGGCAACACCGCGCGGGGCCGACGCCGGTGAAAACAATGACTTTTATTACTTTACGTTATTTAACATTCAAATTTATTATACATAGAATGTTTTATATAACTAAAATAACTCTATATATATTATTGACATGATTAATAATAAAACTATTGAAATTATTCCGTATTAGCGTAATTATGAGTGTTTTTTTCTCGATGTATGATGTACGTAAACAATAGCTATGTAATTGTATCACAAGAAGCTATATATCTAGTACTAGCTGGTAACCTTTGAGTACGTTGCGAGTTTGGCCAGCTGACGCGAGGTTGCCGCTTCGTGCATCAGAACTATCATCTTATCGCCCTTATTACCATCCAATACGATACAAAATCGCATCCCTATACATAATGTATGTATATACACTTGCCGCGCAAAATTTAAACATAATTTTTATCAATTACAACCACAAAACTATAAGCTCGAATTAGATTAATACAAAAACAAAAATAAAAGTGTTAATTTATTAAAATTAAAGTCGCGAAGTGAATTAGTTTGCGATATAAACGCTAGATGGCGCGGTAACAAAGTGGCCTACATGCCAGTCGCGGTGGGCTCGCTCGGCGAGGGCGAGTACCGCGAGTACCACCACCACTCGCCCCTCCATCACCACAACCACCAGCCCCACCACCAGCCCCAGTATGATTACGGTGCTATATACCACCCGATGCCGGAACCGTACTTTAGGTATAGAGTATTGTATGAACAATACATGTACCTATACATATTACGTTCGACGGTTTTACTCGTGGAACCGTAATTTAGGTATAACACGCCGCACGCGTATTGTATGAAAAATACATACATATCACGTTCGACGGTTTTTCTCGCGTACAAAATGAATTTATATCTCGTTTATGCTTAAATAGTGTTTAAAATTTCAATGCGTATATACTAGCTGATACGGCAAATGTTGTTTTGCCATATAAAAATATCGGTTGCTATTAAAAGAGATTTTTTTTGGGTTGTATGTATTTTTTAATGTTACATTATTAAAAAATAAAAACCGAAAATTATTAAAAATTTTAAGGGTGAACCACCCTTATGACTTAGGGGTATGAAAAATAGATTTTCTCCGATTCTCAGAGCTACTCAATATGCTCACAAAATGTCATCAAAATCGGTCCAGCCGTTTCGAAGGAGTTCTCTGTCTAACACCGCGACACGAGAATTTTATAAGAATAATACATACATACTACGTTCGACGATTTTACTCGCAAAACTATTTTTTTTTACGTAATAAGATGGACTGTTTGATTCGTATGTATTTAAGTATTTATATATTTTTCGTAAATTATCTTAATTAATTTTTTAAGTGTTGCATGTGAATAGAAAAGTATAAATTTAAATTATACTTTTATGTTATTTTAAGTATTGTCATAGTTTTTTTTAAGACGAATTAATGAGGCATATATAGGTAAAAAAAATGGTGTGGAAAAGTGTTCTTGATATAGTGTTATGGAAGTGTTTTTCATTTATTACATACATATATAAAAAATAAAAAAATACATTATTTAATGTTTTAAATTATACAGGGTGACTGGTGAATTACTATCAATATTTAAGGAGAATACTCGGTACATGATTCTCATTCGAATTATGTAAAAAAAATAGGCACTTAATTTTTGACAAAATTTCCGTATAAATAAGTAAAGTGTTGACACGTTCCAAGTGTTCAAGTGTGGTCGCGTGCGGCGGCGTGCTGATACAACACTACGTCACGACACGCGTATGTGTGAGTGTCAGTGTATACCTAATCTGTAGGGTGTTCACACGATGCGTAATTAATTACATAACTTTTGGTTAACTTTACTCAGAAGTTTATTAATATTTATGTTATATTAATTTTTATTTTGTCATATATGATCGTCAAATATCACGTCCTCAAATATCGATAGTAATTCACCAGTCACCCTGTATATACAAAAAAAAACTTAAACAACACATAAAATTAGTAAGCAAATAAAGAAATATTAAGTTATTTAAAATTAAGTAAATATGTTAAAATGAAATTTGTTAAACTTAAATAATTCTCATACAAATTAATTGAGAATTTTCTAATTATATCAATCTATTTACATACATACATATATCATAATAAAAATATTATTTTTATACAAATCAATATATATATATTAATATGTTCCTATATAATATTTGTTAATGTACAATGTTCCAGGAGGCATGCTCCGTACTTCGGACAACCAGATTACAGAGTATATGAACTCAACAAGAGATTACAACAGAGAACTGAGGTAAATATATACATACATATATACATATATATATATATATATATATATATATATATACATATACTAGTTTATACCTGTGACTTTGTCTGCGTTAGTTTCAGAATTAGTAACATATATATGGGTGAACTCTGTTCCTTAAAGACAGTAGATAAGATTTTATATTTGATCAAATTATTTTATTTTTCAATCATATGTAAAGTATCCTATGTCCTTTCTGTCTAATCTATCTCTCCACCAATCTTCATCCAAACCCGTACAGCCGTTCTTGAGTTATAAATAATGTAACTAACACGACTTTCTTTTATATATATTATTATTTATATTAACTAAGATAAAGTCAAAATATTTTGGTAAATTCTAGTATAAGTAATACATATATTAATTGATTTGTTCAAGTCTCAATAGCACAATTGGCAGTGTCCATGAAAAAGAAATTTAATAATCCTATAAGTAGGAGATTAAAATCAAACTAATATACATATACATAACTAATATATATAAATTAATTAGTTAGAATTTTAAATTACATCTATGAGTTTTTTATATATATGTTACATATAAAAAGAGTTTTTAAAACCATATTTCAAGTGGCGCCATCTGTTATTGGACATAAACAAGTTTAAAGTAATTATTATTATAACAATATAAAAAATATATATTTGTGAATAAAACTTAAATGATTTGTTTATAATAAGATATATATGTTTATAGGCAGACCCTGGCTAAAGCTGGGAAATTGCCAGGAAGAAGAAGAAGAATATAATATGTACATTAAATTCCCCATAAATATATATATTAATATTTTCTAACAAATCATTAATTCTTGTATTTTCTCGGTTCCAGGATTCGGACAACTTGTGGTGGGATGCCTTCGCCACTGAGTTCTTCGAAGATGACGCGACGCTCACACTCACCTTCTGTTTAGAAGACGGACCCAAGAGATACAGTTAGTACACACATACATACACACACACAAGCATAGCTCAGAAACTACTGAACCAGTATAACAAGAAAATATATATATATATATATATAAAAGATGTAATATTGTGATTTTGGATCTCACAATCAATTAAAAAACTAATGTAAGAAGGGAAATAATATTTAAAGCTATTAATTCAATATGTCCATTCCAATATCACAATTGGAATAAATATGATCTATTTTACAAGTTCTCTTCTTGGTAATAGTTTCGTTATAATTTAAAATAAGCCACAGATAACAATATTTAGAGTTTGTCTATGACACATCAAGAAAATTATACTTTTCTTTATACAGGGTGACTGGTGAATTACTATCAATATTTAAGGAGCATACTCGGTACATGATTCTCATTCGAATTATGTAAAAAAAATAGGCACTTAATTTTTGACAAAATTTCCGTATAAATAAGTAAAGTGTTGACACGTTCCAAGTGTTCAAGTGTGGACGCGTGCGGCGACGTGTTGATACAACACCACGTCACGACATGCGTATGTGTGAGTGTCAGTGTATACCTAATCTGTAGGGTGTTCACACGATGCGTAATTAATTACATAACTTTTGGTTAACTTTACTAAGAAGTTTATTAATATTTATGTTATATTAATTTTTATTTTGTCATATATGATCGTCAAATATCACGTCCTCAAATATCGATAGTAATTCACCAGTCACCCTGTATATTGTATTCAAAAATGTTATTTGTTTGTGAGTCTGTAGAGATATACTATTGAAACTACCTTATCTAGTATTAATAGTACATATATCAACTAACACATACATACACACATATACACGCGTCCACACTTGAACACTTGGAACGTGTCAACACTTTATTTATTTATACGGAAATTTTGTCAAAAATTAAGTGCCTATTTTTTTTACATAATTCGAATGAGAATCATGTACCGAGTATTCTCCTTAAATATTGATAGTAATTCACCAGTCACCCTGTATATATAACAATTGTCTTATATAAATGAAATAACATAACTATTATACATTCCAGCGATAGGCAGGACGTTAATACCTCGCTACTTCCGTAGTATATACGAGGGTGGTGTCTCCGAGCTGTACTACACCATGAGGCAGCCCAAGGAGTCCTTCCACAACACCAGCATCACCCTCGACTGTGACCACTGCACCATGGTCACGCACCATGGGAAACCCATGTTCACTAAGGTTAGACTACACTCAGACTGGGATAAAAACTAGACTCAGTAATAAACTAGACTCAGGGACTGAGAAATATACTTGTGTTAGTAAGGTGAGACTCAGACTGAAATGATAATGGGACTAAGTAAGTAAAATATTGGACTTAGACTGTAATGAAATTGACTTGGTAACTGAGAAATATACTTGTTACTAAGGTGACACTCCACTGAAATAATGAGACTTAGTAAGTAAGGTATTAGACTTAGACTGCAATGAAGTAAGACTCGGTAACTGAGAAATATACTTACATATGTTACTAAGGTGAGACTCAGACTGGAATAATAATGAGCCTGGGAGACTAAAATTATCAGGGTTGTTATATCAGTATTGCTATTTTATTAATTCTTAACTGGCCCGATGATGAAAAGTCATTTTGGAGGGATGTGTATCATGAGTGAGCCAGTACAACGACACTATGTATAAAGTATCACTCACGGTACACGGTTGCCCGATGAATAAAAGATTATAAGATCTGAGTTCTTTTACATTACCACAAACGAGCGTGGTGATTAATGCTCTAACCTTCTCCATATAAAAATACACCTTTGCTAATATTCTCTGATAGGCTAATATATATATATATAAATGGATTGCTGTTCCTTGGTCTCACTAAAACTCGAGAACGACTGAACGGATTTATCTTATCATAGTCTTGAAATGTTGATTGAGGTCCATAGAAGGTTTACTGAGAAAAAAAATTTAATCATTTCAACGCAGACGAAGTCGCGGGTAATCTACTAATATTATAATTGCTCAATTTTGTGAGTGTATATGTTTGTTACTTCTTCACGCTCAAACGGCTGAACCGATTTAATTAAAATTTTGTATACAGGAAGCTGATATCCAGGAATGACACATAGGCTACATTACATCCCGGAAATTAATATTTATATATATAATTCCAGGTCTGCACTGAAGGTCGATTAATCCTGGAGTTCACCTTCGATGATCTGATGCGCATCAAGTCCTGGCACATGGCTGTCCGAGCGCATCGCGAGCTCATCCCGCGCCAGGCAGTGCATCCGCCGGATCATGCGGCCTTGGATCAGCTAGCCAAGAATATTACTAGACAAGGGATCACTAACTCCACACTTAATTATCTCAGGGTTAGTCAATAACTATATATATACATATATACTATACTAGAAGACCCGGCGAACTTCTTATCGCCCCATAATCAAGAAATATCCTTTACGTTTTTTTATTTATATTTTTGGATTTTACCTATTAAAGCCATAAATCTCCGTTTTTTGAAGTGCGACAGAATGATTGACATATATATAAATATGTATAAAATCCCCTCTCGGTGACGCTGTGAAAGCCATTAGCTATCAGCTTTAGTTAATTCGAAACAAAAGAATATATATATAAAAGGAAGTCGTGTTAGTTATACTATTTATAACTTTAATGACTGTACGGGTTTGGATGAAGATTGGTGGTGAGATTGATTAGAACATAGAAAGGACATAGGATATTTAATACTGTTCGATATATAATAAAATAATAATAATAAACTCCAATATCTGGTTATTTACCGCCTCTACAGTGGAATAGAGTACGCCCGGTCAGCTATACATATATTACTTATTCAGAAATTAACATGGACGAAATCATGGTCAAAAACTAGTATACAAATATATCTCTTTCATAACCATGGAATTTTTGGATTAGTTATAATATAAACATTATTCTGATTTTTAAACTATATAATTGATAATCAAATCAATCAAATCGATGAAATGATTATTTCCTTTATTTTTTATATGTATGTATGTATGTGTGTTCCAGCTGTGCGTGATCCTGGAGCCTATGCAGGAGCTCATGTCCCGCCACAAGGCGTACGCGCTCTCACCGCGGGACTGTCTCAAGACGACGCTGTTCCAGAAGTGGCAGAGGATGGTCGCACCGCCTGGTACGGACACACACACACACACACACAGACGGCTACAGACACACACACATACAAACACTGACGCAACATTCAGGTAGTTGACAGTATAGCAAACATACATCTTTGTGTAAAAATACTGGAACTACACACACATACATACATACATACATATATGTACATATACAGATATACACACAAAAATTACAGAAATCTTGTTGTACAAGTGAAATACTAGAAAATAATAATTATTTTGAATCTAATTACGTTTGGTGGCAGCGAAGGTTGCAAGAATAATCTGCTTTACTTAATAAATATATTAAATTTAACAAATAAAACTTAAATTTAACTACTAGCTAGGGCGGGGTCTTTAAATCAGCGGTTGACTAAAGACAGATTTTATAATTAAGTCTTATAATTAACTACATCCTAAATAAGAGTCTGTAAGTCAGCGGTTAACTCCAGATCGAATATATTATGTTGAATCCCATTTTGCATTCCGTACTTTATACCAATTATATCGTAAATTTAATATCTGGTTATTCTTGCGTAACAATCTCCATGAAAGTCAGGTTTAAACTAAGTAATTAAATTATTTTAACATTAGTATGATTTTTACTTGTTCAATTATTCTATTAAATTCATGATTATCATATGAAACTTGTAAATAATGATCTATCCACTATTTTAAATACAATAACATAACTAATACATTATATATAAGTATTATATATGTTTCTTTATATATATAATGTTTCAGAATCCCAGAGGCCGGCCAGTAAGAGACGTAAACGTAAAGGCAGCGCGGGAGCAAACGCCGCTCCACCCGCGCCCGCCAAGAAAAGATCACCCGGACCTAACTTTAGTCTCGCCTCACAGGTAACACACACACACACACACACAGACACACACACATACACATACATACATGTATATATGTATATAGGTTTCAAACAAAATAATAAAGAATATACTTTAAAATAAATCATACTTTAACAGAAACAAACTTGTCTTAAAGTGTTTTAATTAATTATATTTTCATAAGTAATATATACAATATTTATAGTTACTCCTTATAACATTAGAATCCTCGAGTGAACAACTAAAACTCAGAATGAAGCATCTAAAAATACCTACTACATATTTTCGACATTAGACATTCTTATAGTGTCACAACATTGACATATACTAATTTACATGCCTCAGAGATGAGAATTGTGGCACTCCGATAGAAAGAGGGGAAACGATGTTTCGGTCTATCTTTATCTCTCTCAAAATAGTACCGTACCTATGAGGAAAGAGATAGAGCTAGACCGAAAGCATAGACCATCTCTCTCACTCTTTTCAAACCTAAAAATTACTGCAGATTATACGCGTACATGTCCATTAATATATGTCGATGCTAGTTACGAGACTTGATATTTAAATACGCTTAGGACGAGTTACCTGATAACACTAGTGACTGATAGTTTATAAGTATTTAACGTTGGAAATAAGATACTGTAAATGTGACGTGTTGTATGACATAGTACAGGGCGTGAGGGGTACATGTATAATATGTAGAATTTCTAAACGGTTCTATATTCTTCAACGGTCTCCACTTACTGAACTTTACTATGCTATAATTCTATTCCTTTTAATTAAAACAATAATAATTATGACCAAGGCCGGTCGTAAAAACGATTAGCCAATACTATTCACAACATTTGAGGCAGACCCTGGCTAAAGCTGAGATATTACAAATAGAAGAAGAATAATTATGACCAATAAGTTATAACAATAATTTATGGCATCCAAGTTTTTGTTATATTGCATACATCTTATACTAATAGCGCTTCTATATGTCAGGCGCTGTCAGTATTATATGTATACTGTGGAAATTGTATAATTCTCTCAGTCATATTATGTTTGCTCCATATATACATATATCTGTTCTAAGTCAATGGTGGCCTAGTGGTTAAAAGGCCCGTCTCTCATTCACGAGAGCGCGGGTTCTATCCTGCCAAGTACCAATGTGATTTTTCCGTGTCATATGTACTGTCTAAGAATATTTAGACATCACGGATTAATGCATTCCCAAAGAGGGTTGATGTCAGGCAGGCGGCCGGTAAAAACAATTAGCCAAAACTATTCACAACATGTAAGGCAGACCCTGGCTATAGCTGGGAAATTGCCATGTAGAAGAAGATATATATATACATATATTTTACTAATTACATTATACATGTCTCGGTCATATTATATCCATTTCATATCTATATATCTGTCTGTCTATCTGTTCCAGGACGTGATGGTAGTAGGCGAACCTTCCCTAATGGGCGGTGAATTCGGTGACGAGGACGAGCGACTGATCACAAGACTAGAGAACACGCAGTACGAAGGAGACGACTGGCCCGCGCCGCCGCCCGCCTCGCCCGCCAAGACGCCGCCCTCCAACCACTGATAATATATTATAATATAGGAAACAGCTTTCATTTACAACTTACAACACCATCGCGTGTACGTGGACACTAAATAAACACGGGACTGTGAGGAAATCACATTGGAAGAAGATTACAAAACGTTTAAGATGAAATATTCTATATATTAACGATTTTTGAGGTATTTTTTTCATAATTAGTTATACTAGTCTTACTAGACTTCGATATTAAACTCAAAGATCGGTAGTGTCGGGTAATCATAATATATTTTGATAGACGAACCGTCAGTTTATGTTAGGAGTTATAATGATTCAAACATACATACACGCACACATTCATATATACATACTAGCTTTCTGAGCTTCGCCCGCGTGGATTTCGGTTATATCGCGTTTCCAAAAAAACCTTTCAAAATCTAGGATAAAAACTATCCTATGTTCTTTCTCAAGATCAACTCTGTCTGTACCAAATTTAGTTAAAATCAGTTCAGTTGTTTAAGCGTGAAAATTTAACAGATTGACAGAGTTACTTTCGCATTTATAATATTATTGATTAAACATACATATGTTATTATGAAAAAATTCCTTAATATAGAAAATATTTCATCTCAAACTAATAATTTACTTCCGGTGTAGATTTTTTCTCACTCTCCCAATAAACACAACAATCAGTGTGATGACACAATCAAGGTTCAAGATGGTATGAATTATGTAAATAAAGAGATTTCTTAATGATATTACTTGTATGGTAGGCTGGTACCGAGCTGCCGAGGATTTGTGAGGTTTAGAGGCACATGTAAATAGTTGACATAAAGTATTATGATCCATGAAGCTTTTATTTTTAATTACTAAGCTTTCTGTTCCAGTGTACATAATAGTTGGTATTAAAAGAGGTATTAGTCATTGTTTTGTTTGGTTTAATGTATTTTTGGGTTCGATATGATGGTTGGATAGGCTTGTTTTGACTGCAGGAGTATATAGTCATATATATGTATATAATATGTATATTAGCTGACCCGGAAAACGTTGTTTTGTCATATAAAAATAACCAAGTTCGTGATAAAAGTAAAAATTTTTAGTTGTAACTTGTATGTCTTTTATAATGCTACATTATAAAGAAATAAAAACACAAAATTTCGTCCGAAAAAAAATAATAATTAAGGTATGAAAAATACATGTTATCTCTCAGATTCTCAGAGCTACTCAATATGCTTACAAAATTTCATCAACATCTGCTCAGCCGTTTTGTAGGAGTTCTCTATCTAACACCGCGACACGAGAATTTTATATATAAGATATATATGTATGTATATATAATATCAAGCAAGAAAAACCACGTTATAAGTAAAATGATTTATTAACTGCCTCTGAGAAGTACTACAGAAAGATTCCTGACATTATCTGATGGAGAAGAATTAAGAATACATTTTGCACACCATATATATATATTAAATCTCCACAATAGTTAGTTCATTATAATGAGAAAAGAAACAACAAAATAAACACAGATTCTACTTTCAAGCATCTTTCAGTTAAATTAGGCTTAACACGAGTTTGCATTACTACATACGTAGCGTCAACAGTTTTTCGTTAATATCTTCTCACATAGTATTATCGTACTATTGAATGAGAAACGGAAGACGCGTCGTGTGTAGTAACGATGTAGACTCGTGGTAAGGATACTATTAATATGAGTTCTTAATTTTGATTTAAAAATATTTGATAATAAATGTACGGAAATTCTATAACAGCATTCAGAGAAACCAGTGAAGTGGTGGTCTTAAAAGGCCCGCCTCTCATGCATGAGGGCGCGGGTTCGATCCTGGCAAGTACCAATGTGATTGTTTCAAGTCACGTACTTTATAAGAGTATTTAGACATCACTGACTGATGAAGGAAAACATCGTGAGGAAATCTGGACTTATAATATCAAATTATAAGTTTGAAATCACCAACCCGTCTTGAGCGAGCTTTGTGATTAATGCTCTAACCTTCTCCATGTAAGAAGAGGCTCAGCAGTGGGCTCTGATAGGATAAAAAAAATCACAGAAACTACTTATAGGAAAACGAAAGAGAACTATTTAAATACAACTTAAAAAATATTCAGTTGATTAATAAAACTTCCATTGTACAATTAAGATTTGTTCTAGATACAGTTTCAGTGTTAATTCTCAATGTTCGTTACTCCCAGTCATGTAACAGAATGTGTGTGTCCAGTATGTATAGTTTACAGACACCAGTTGATACTCATGTTGATACATTACAATGGTTCAGTATTATCATTCATTATAATCACTCATCATGATAATTGGAAGGATTAAAGTATAACACAGATGGCGCCACTTGTAATATTAGTGCTTTTTGTTTTATATATATCTGATTTTAAATGTACTGAAATTTTGTCAGAACTTCCACGGAAACCAAAAGTTGAAGTATCCAAAATAGTCACAATTACATTATTATAAAAGAAATGTAATACACAAAGGATAATTTATCTCTTAGAAGAAATCTCTACCAGAAACACTTTTGATAGAGGGAATGAGAAAAGTAATTTGGGGTAGCTACAATAAAAAGAGAGATAGAAATGAGAAAATTTTTATATACTATACCTACATAGAAATTACACACATACATACACAAAATATATACATATCAATTGAGAGATGATGTGAAGATGAAGATACTACTGAAAAAATAAAATACTATATTCAAATGATAATTAAAACTTTCTTATAATAATTCATAATATTCTAGAAAAAATTAAAACATTTTGCTAATATCAACGTTTTTATTTGTTGAACGAATTATAATCGAGTTTTGTTTGGGAACACGAAGGAGAATGTCGAATGGAATGAAAGCATTTATTTTATTACATATAATTACTTAAAAAAGACTAGTTATATTTTTACATCATCTAGAACAACTAAAACTCATCATGAAGTTTCTAGAAATACTACGTATATTAGACATTATTATAGTGTCATAACAAACTTTATCATTAATCATCATTTAGCCAATCTTGGTCCACTGCTGGACATAGGCCTCTCTCAATTCGCGCCACAATACCCGGTCCTCCGCCTTCCGCATCCAGTCCTACCTTAAGGTAGCTGAGTCGCGGTCTACATTATAGGACTCGTCTGCTCCATCGGTATCTGTCCTTGGCAGACATGACCAGCCCATTGCCACTACAGCGAGCTAATTCAAACAAATAAAGCTTTAATAAATACTTAAAAGATGAACAAATTGTAGTATTTTTTTTATATCACTAGGGGCAAACACAAATCTTTCAATATCAGCTGATCACGTTTGTTTACAAGATTGCCAATTTATATTAAAATGAACTATAATTTGAGATACAAAGACACTGAATGGATTGAACGAATTAAATAAAACAGTATGCTCGTCTCGTTTCTTATATACATTAATATTATTATTTGAAATGTATGAATGAAAACTATTGACGCTACGTACTTAAAGGCTAGATATAAATTAATTTATATAGGAATGCTATGACCTTATAAGCAAAAAACAGATTAATTGTACCAAAAGAAATGTATATATACATATATAGTTCATGAATAAAACGGTAATTTTTATTGTTTGTCATATAACTGTACATATGACTTCCCTATAATATTATTGAATATTTTAATAACTGTATTATGTTAAACTAAAAAATTGTAGAGATAGCGGTTGAAATTTCATTTAAACTAAAGAAACACTATAAACTAAAATAGAAAAGTATTTTCATAAAACTAAATACAAATATTATAAAAAATAAAACTATTATTCATGAACGCACCTCCTTTCATTACTTGGCGTTTTGGACACACGTCAGCGGTGATGGTTGCAAGTGCGTTCGAAACACAGATATTAAACGGAAACATAATAACATTGAAATGTATTACTTATATTAAATAATCAAAATTATAACGCTAAAATTTAAAAATATCAAATATTTATTTAAAAATTAGTAGCCTTTTCTTTATATCACATTATTTTACCTTAGAATATGTTTTAGTTTTCCATTTGACATAAATAACAGGTGAGACTACTTCCGAACGCACCTCTCACTTTCTTATTGCATACGATACGTTACGTGGACGGGCAGTCAAGTTGTAGAAAAACATTACAAAGTTAGTTTTAAGAGAAACCTCAAACAAAATACTTCAAAATGGTCACAAAATACTTACTAACCGTCCTCGCGCTAGCCGTCGGCACATCCTTCGCACAAAGATGTCAGAATCCACAAGTTGAAGCGGCATCATTCACAAGCCTCGACGCTACCGTGGTCACACAAATAGCTTATATTACTGAATTTACTCTCAAATGTGATAACCCGCTCCCTGAAAACTACGCTTTATACGCTGAAGTCGAGGGTAAATCTCTGTCTGCGGCGCGCGTCGGAGAAAATAAATATCAGGTGAGAGAAGGTTATTTTCAATTAAAACAAACAATATTTTTAGTTTAAACACAATGAAACTGACCAAAAAACAGGTCTACATTCAGAAAAGTTCAAAAACAAGTATGATTCATATTACTTGACTTAATCTTATTGGAACTCAAAATTGTGTTAAAATTATCGAACATGAACTACTTTCTGTTATATAGTAAAATCATGTGTGAAAATAAGCACAGTATACAAGCATCTATATATCCTAGGTATCCTGGACTGAAGAGCCTTCAAAGGCCCGTTCTGGTGTCCACGAGATCCACATCCTCGATGAGGAAGGCTGGGCATCTCTCCGCCGCGCTCGTCGCAGTGACCCCGCCGCTAGCGTTGCTCCCCTACTGGCTATCCAACTACAGCATCCAGGAAGTAAGACATAATATATAATTTTAATAAACATAATTATTTTTGTTTGATAGTGAGAAAACTTGATTTTGTCCATTAAGACAGGCTTCACGGAAATGCCCGTCTTTTAAAATATAATCTAAGCTGTGTACCATACATTAATGTAACTTGTTCAATATTTAAATTTTCATATATATAATATATATTTTGCCTAAACCAGTTGATGAAAACAATAGTATTATCACATTAGGAAAATAAAGATATCTTATAACCTGGAAACCTGGACTTATAATATCAAATCATAAGTTTGAAATCACCAACCCTTCTTGAGCGAGTGTGGTGATTAATGCTCAAACCTTCTCCATGGGAGAAGAGGCCTTTCAGCAGTAGGCTCCGATAGACTGAAGATGATATAGACATATATTCAATAAAATCCTAGTTATTGACGGATTCAGTCAACTTTTCTTACATAATTAACACAATTATTCTACTTTAAGAACTATAAAACTCAATAATCATCTAATTCCTTTCCTCCAGGCTACTCCGGTCCGTGGGTCAACTCCGAGGTCCTTGCTACTCTCCTGTCCATCGTGATAGCGTACACCGCACTCAAGAACAAAAGCATGATCATAGCTTAGTTTAAATATTTAATGTTATTTTTATTAAATTAAATTTTTTATTATATATATTGCAGTCTTATTTATAATATTACTTAACTTCTGTATAAGTATATAATATTGTATGAAAAAACATCAATTATCTGCCGTTTCGTGAAAACTTTCTTATTTAATATGTCTATATTCCCTATTTATTCTTTCTGGCAACTTCCCAGCTCTAGCCAGGGTCCGCCTTACATGTTGTGAATATTTTTGGCTAATTGTTTTTACGACCGGCCTGGCTGACATCAACCCTCTTTGGGAAAAAATCTTATTTAATACGTCTATATTCCCTATTTATAGATACAATTACATGGCTTAGAAAATAACTAAATTAACAATATGTTTAATATACCAAATATATATTTTAGTTAAATAATTCATAATGAGATCTGATATTTTCGCGAGTCATTTAAATGAAACTAATATTTTTATGATAACAAGACCGACTAACATACACTCACGTCTAGTTTTAATGATCACAGTTGCTGGAGAGTAGCTGAAACATCGGTATAATATATATAGTATGCTTTTTTTACAAAAATTAACCCGCGTAGTAAATCCGAAAAATATTAGTTTCATTCAATTAATTCAATTTATTTTAACTTAAATTCGTTTATATAGTTTTTATTCCATTACAACCATATATGTTGTCATTTCTGACATTTGACGTAAGTCAGGGTAAGGTTATAATAGTTTTGTAAATATTGAGTAAAACATTAAATATTTGTGAAATAGATTATAAAAATGACCATTAAACAACGTGAAAAAGCAGATGGTGACGATGACCCGGTTGAATCCATGCTCAAGAAGTCCGGCTGTCTTGAACTACATTATAAAGTTATGGTAAGTTGTCCCAACTTAATATGTTGTAAGACTCGCAAGTATTCAATTAAATGAAACTAATATTATTCGTACTACCATACCTTTTTTATTATTATCGGACATTCACATCTCGTCTTAATGATCACGATTGCTGAAAAGTAATCGAAACGTCGGCAGTATGTAGTTAAAATAATAAAATACGCGTAGTAATTCGAAAAATATTAGTTTCATTTAAATGAAAACTTGCGAAGGTTACTAAGTTATAATTAATAATATTATTAAGTGTTAAATATGTAATAAATCAATTCTGTCATTGATATATTTGCTGAAAAGTAGTGAATATTCTATTGAAGGAAAAGTTATTTCACGTGATCATAATACTTTTCAGTTTGGTTAAACACAAGACAAGTTTTATTGATAAAAACAAACATGTTATTTAGTAAAATAATGCATACATTGCATTATCATATTTTATTAGGAATTAAATAATTTTTTTTGCACATTTCCTCAAATTCAATAATTTTAAATTCAATGGTTACTTATTCGAAGCTATAAGTATAAGCTGTTATCAAAATAACTGATTTTAAATAAGAATGTAATTTAACATTAATTCATAATACATAGTAAAATTTAAGTTAATTTGAATTACTCAAATCTTGAGCAAGGAAAAGTCTAAAAAATGCAACATGTGTGTTTTGCTGATAATCAAATAGATCTACTGACTTGATATATCCAGCTAGAGACAAAACTTCTCAGCATTCCATGGATTCACCGTGTGGGTGCTGGGTCCATCATGTTGCAGGGAATATATAATTATATATGAAATTATAATATTGGAATACAACATAAAAGTTATTAATTTTGCCATTTAACATTTTGATGATGCATGATATCTCTTCTTCTTCTTCCTGGCAATTTCTCAGCTTTAGCCAGGGTCAGCCTTTATATGGGTCTGTATGTATATTTTGCCTATAATTCTAGTTTGACAATTCTTCTTCTTCTTCTTCTACCTAGCAATTGCCCAGGGTCTGCCTATTATTACTTATAAACAATAATTTTATTTGATTTCTACTGTTAGAAACTCAGTATAAGCCCCATATATCTGAATCTCTATCATAAAATTAATATTTGATATTTTTCTCACCAGGAATGCATAAATTCTACCAAAGACTGGAGGAAATGTCAGGAAGAAGTGAACGAGTTCAGGAACTGTGTGAGTAAACATAAAGAAGATCAAACGAGACAGCCATGAATAATAGCTTATTCACAACATGTAAGGCAGACCCTGGCTATAGCTGGGAAATTGCCAGGTAGAAGAAGAAGAAGATATTGTTATATTAGTGAATAAGTTATTGTAGTACAAGTGATTTGTTTTAATTTGTTAATAAATGTATGAAAAAAACGTTTCTGCTTTTTTTATTTATATTTAACTTAATATACTTATATGATTTTTTTCAATACCTTCTTAAAAAAAGGTTTTAATGGAAAATATTTTTTTTTGTTTCCAATATGATCTAGTATTATAAATAATATATTTTTAATTATTACAATATAGAAATTATAGTGTTTCTTAAATCGAAATGTGAATGGATTTCGTATTGTTAAGTATCTTAGAAGTTTTTATTGTGGATATTTTTTTTGAGATGGCTTTATTCACACTGGAATCCTGTAATTTTCTGTCAATGACAACGTTTTTATTTGTTGGACGAATTATAACGTTGAGTACCGTAATAAAATTTTTATATATATACCAATTACCCTGATGTGACCTCTGTCACGGTGTTGCTTAAAATAAGTAAATTAAACTGAAATCTCAATGATTTTAAATTCACAATTAAAGTATATGTCACATTTTAAAGTTTTTATTTGGGATGATAAATAATTATATTAATTTGGTAGTCTGCACATTTTTCTCAGATGTATTTGAAACTGAAATGAAGAATACTAGTTTTAAGTTTTTCAGTAAATTGTTTTAACATAAGTCCATCAACAAAAGCTCTACTGATTTTTTACTTATAGACTAAAATGTTGTTTAAGATTTAAATGTATAATTCATTGTTATTATTACTTAAAACTTAATATTGACAATATTGTTTTTCCAATTGGATACCATCTTTAATTTATCCAATGTCTTGTAGAAGTACAAGTTTCGTATCGTTTTCAGGATAATATTTTAAAAACCAAACGCGAAATAATAACTAAACTTTTTAATTTTATATATCAAAAAAATCCAATATATAATAAACCATAACTGTAGAGAAAATTAAATTGGCATTGGCGAAGATCAGTTCAGAAACAGTGAGAAGAATGATACTGACAAATCAATTCCTTCGCCTTCTCTGACAAATGTCATTTGGTAGACTTATGACAGTTATGTATCCTAATAAGTAATAATTTTTAAGGTTATAAAAGTTAAAAACAAACAATAAAATTATATTTGTTATGAAATTATACTGAAAACAATTTATATCCAAGATGCTCAGAAGACTAAGGCCGACATTTTCCGCATTCAATGCCAAATTCTCCACACGATTAGAAATAGATCCGAATCTAAGAGATAGGTTCGAAACAGAGCAATATAAACCAAGAAATCATCCCGGCAGGTCGAAAGTTAAGATCGCAAAAATACCGAACGAAATACAGAACGCCATTAAAATCATCTTACAAGACAACGGCGCTAAAAGTTATCACGAGGAGAGTGTAAAATTAAACAACTATATCATATCACGACATTTACCGCCCGAAGAAAATGAAATAACAGAAAAAGCAGCGAAAATACACAGCAGCGTATCCAAGAGGTATTCAAAACAGAACGATATGAATATGGCGGAAAATAACACGGAACATAAGATTAAGACAGCAGTTTTTAATATATTAAAGAAAAATGTATACCGCTGGGCAAACATAGCTTATGATAAACCGACTAGCTTACAATACTTGATGGCGAGAGCGGCGCCGGAATACGCGGTGCTCGTAAGAATATTAGACGAAATTAAGAGGCAGCTCCCCGACTATAAGCCGAGGAGTTTCTTTGACTTTGGCTCGGGTGTCGGTACAGGGACTTGGGCTGTAAATACTTACTGGAAAGGCGATATATATGAATACTTCACAGTAGACACATCAACACACATGAACGAGCTAGCACAACTAATTCTATGCCAAGGACGAGATAACGTTGAAATGCCGTTCAAAGCTTACTTCCAAAGACAATTCCTGCCGGCTTCAACCGATTTGAAGTACCACATAGTGCTATCAGCATTCTCATTATTCGAAATGCCTGATATGAAGAGCCGTCTGGAAACTATACAGAAGTTGTGGAATAAAACTGAAGATTTCTTAATAATCGTTGAACACGGTAGCAACGCTGGCTTTAGAATTGTGAACGAGGCTAGAGAGTTTGTTTTAAATTCCACACAACAAGACCAGGGCTATGCCTTTGCTCCGTGTCCGAATGACAATGTATGCCCTCGGTATTTAGAGCATCAAACGCCTTGTAACTTCTTGATGAAGTATGAAACGTTGTCATTCCCATCTAAGACTGAAGTTATGGCTGAGTTGTTCTCATACGTTATTTTAAGGAAAGGTGTCAGACCGTCAAATGATCCGGCCTGGCCGAGAGTGGTTAGGGCTCCAATAGTCAGATCGGGACACACTATATGTAGAATGTGCACTTCTCAAGGCGAATTAAAGGAAGTTATATTCTCAAAGGGAAAATATGACCAGAAGACTTACCGGTGTGCCAGATCTTGCAACTGGGGTGATTTGCTGCCCGTCAAATAAAATATATACATACATAACATGACTTTTATTATCATCATCATCAGCCTATCAGAGCCTACTACTGAACAAAGGTCTCTTCTCACATGGAGAAGGTTTGAGCATTAATCACCACGCTTGTTTAAGATTGGTTGGTAATTTCAAACTTATGATTTGATATTATAAGTCCAGGTTTCCTCACAATGTTTTTCCTTCATCTGTCAGTGACGTCTAAATACTCTTATAAAGTACATACATATGACTTTAAAAATCACTTTGGTATTTTCCAGGTTTCGAACCCGCGCTCTCATGCATGAGAGGCGACTTTTATTAGTCAAATATTCATATAAGTAAAAAAACTAATTTCCAAATAAAACATTATTAACAATCTTCCTATATCTAATTCTACCAACTAATATCAAAAATTTCTGAACCGATTTTGATGATCCTCCATGAGAGATAACTAATGTGTTAAACAAACTAGCTTTCCGCCCGCAGCTTCGCCCGCGTGGAGTTCTGTTATATCGCGTTTCCAAGAGAAGCTTTCAAAAGTCTGTGATAAAAACTATCTTATGTTCTTTCTCAAGGTCAACTCTATGCCTGTTCCAAATTTAATTAAAATCAGTTCAGTGTTTTAGGCGTAACACACAGACAGACAGAGTTACTTTTGCATTTATATTATTAGTAGGGATTCGATCTTTATATTCTAGTTCATTATTTTAATAAGAATAAACAAGAAAATAAAAGATACTTTTGTGAAAGAAGTAACAGTATCAGCTAGTGATATTACTATCTCTAATTATTTCAGATTATTCACCGTTTTAAATATATCTTAGTAATATTACTTAGAGAATAATAAGTTATCTTTATTATAATGGCGATAGACTTTATATGTCTTTTGCAATACAAATTTTATTGGTATTCGTAGACAAGTTTTATTTACTAAAGCACCGTTAGTTCTAACATATTACATAAAATAAAAATTAATTAAATAAACAGACTCAAAATATAACTGAGAAAAGACAATTTAAATAAAAAACTATAATAATATCAGTAGAAATCATACAAAAGTAGGAAAAAAAAAAACATTTAATAAGAATTATGTACAACTGTTAATGCCTCCATTAAAGAATTTGTCACTTTTATCTATAGTCTAGACTTTAGTTATAAAATAAAATTTTTATCCCAAATTGTAGTAATGAATAAATTGATAATTAAAATACTGTTTTCCTTATTGTTCTTTAATACATAATAATTATTTAATTCAAAATTATAACTACAAAAAATCCGAGGTATTTAGGTAAATATTTTGTCACGTCAAAGTCATTTGATTAATTATTGAACGTAACTTTCCTCTTTTCAGTTTTACCAATCTTCATACCTAGGTATTGAAGATGTGAAAATTATTTATATAATATAGAAATAATTAAATCTAAAAAATACATAAAATACCTATAATTAAAGTTCCTTCCTTTATAATTTGTATGTACTGATACACAAGAACCTATTGTTTACTTGTTGTGTTTGTAAGGGCTGCACCGATTTTAATAGTAATTTTACTAATTAATAGAAAAAATTATAAAATTTATCACTTTGTGGGTTCATGGGATAGAGCAAAACGAAAACAAAGTTACTTTTTACAATATTTAATAAAATTTTATCGTTTATTTTTTATTACAATCATACAGCGCCATCTATTGTATTATATATACAACACGTGTCATGACCATTAATCATTGTATTGTTAAGTTATTTACAATTAATTATTATTTAATAATATTAAATGGTAGAAGAAATTGGAGAACAATATCCTTATTACTAGTTTTTGTCCAATTTATGAATGAAAGACGGAAAACTGTCTGTTTAATTTGCTTATAAACATTCGTGGTAGGGATAATGGCGTCTTAAATTTAAATCATAAGTTTTACTTGTATACTCATTCTAAAATTTCAGAAAATTTTAATTACAAGTAGAATAAATCAAATATTCCACTATCACTGATGATTGATAGAAAAGTAAATGTCAAGAAAAAGTCATGTTACTAACTCTTCCGTACTAACGCGTCTTTAAGAAAATAGTCAGCTGAATATATACAAAATATTTAATAATTTCAAAGTAATTTAAGAAATCAAGACAAATAGCTTTAAAGTAAATTAAACATTTTAAATAAAAACTATTTTTAAGAGTAAATACTTTGAGTTTGTTTGGGTTTTTCGCCTTATAGATATAAGTGTATACATAAATTGTTTGTAGACATATTTGGGAATTTCCAAAATCACGGAAAACCGTTACTTCATAATGAAATTATATCCTTTGTATAAATATATTAAATTTATTATATTTACTTTGTTTTAATTATTTGCGTCCTAATTACGTATTTGCCAAACATTTTATTCTACAACTAGCTTTTGCCGCGACTCCGTCCGCGTGGAATAGTGATTTACGGCAGATTTTTGGTTCTTCCCACATAGTTCCCGTTCTTGTGGGGTTTTCGGAATGGTCGAGTTCCCGTAGAATTTTCAGGATAAAACCTATGTTTTTTTAATTCACAATGAAGTACTCTTAACCAACAACATATTTATTTGTTTATTTGAATAAAGATTAATATTATTATGTTGATACAACTTAAACAAATTATTTCGACCAAATTAGGTACCATAAAAACGGTTTTTGTGAGTTAATCTTAAAAGATAGAGATATACTGTCGCGAAGTGTTTTTTAGATCATTAATAGAGCTATTATTCTTTAACACATATTTTTGTTGATATTATATAGTCTAAAGCCTTCCTCGATAACTGGACTATCCAACACAAAAAGAATTATTCAATTCGAACCAGTAGTTTCGGATATTAGCGCTTTCAAACAAACAAACAAACAAACAAACTCTTCAGCTTTATAATATTAGTATAGATTTGTGATCAATACAATAAAAAAATATTCAGTAATCAATTTGTTTTATTAAAATGTGTTACTATATATATTTATTTTTTCCAAATTTTTGTCAGCCTGCCTATATGTTTGTTGCAATTTGTCTCAATTTTTTCACTAATACCAAATCGATGTACGGAATTTTATGCCCTTTTAAAATTCTAAATTATTATTTTTTCTAAATAATCATACATAATATAATTTAAATGTTTTAAAAGTTATTACTATTAAACTTTTCGTATCACGTTAAACGTTTAAACTAATATTAAGGTAAATATTTATGTAGGATAACGGTAGTTGAAGACTCATCTCAATTCAGTACAGTGTGAGTCGAGATGCAGTGTGTGTGTGTTTTTGTGTTTCTTTGTTTTATAAACATCGCTAATGGAGGTTAGTAATTTGAAAATACTTCGAAAACATTAATTTTATGTATTAAAAGTATATTTTATTATTTTAATAGTATTCTAAGTATATTTGATTGAGTCGTAATAGTGAAAGAATTAGGTTATTGTTGAATAAGCTAAAAGTTGGTTATAATTTTATGTAGGTGTGTAATAGGTGACATTTACTTTATTTATTTACAGTTTTAGCCTGCATGAGTTCCAGTTTTGTCAATTTGCGTAATGAACATGGTAGGTTTGAAATATTTTTAAAGATTTTTTAAAGATATGTTGCTTAATACGAGTTGTCATCGTCACTACACACGTAGCGTTAACAGTATTTCTTTATGAATCTTCTTACTATCTAGTATTAACGTATTAATGAGTGTGAAACGTTCAGTAAAGTCATGATTAACTCGGACTAAACATACGATGTGTGTGAGTCGTGTTTAAAAGTTAAATTTTTCCGTTTGTGTTTCATTGTGTTAAAAAACTGTGAATTAGCAACTAGTTTCTGCGACACTTCCGCTTGTACTTCGGTATTAAGTTCAAATGTTTAAAGTATGTCAAAACAACTTATATATATAATTCTTCTGTGAGTGTGTATGTCACTGAACTTCTCTCAAACGACTGGACCGATTTTTATTAATTTTTTTTGTGTGTGTTCAAGCGGATCTGGGAATTGTTTAGATTCACAATTTTGTCCGCTGAACAATGTTTTTTAAATTAATTTTTAATTTATTAGTAGTTGTTGATACAAATGTTTTTTTTAAATTAGATTTGATTACTAACCAATATGTCAATCATTCTGTCGCACTTCAAAACACGGAGATTTCTGGCTTACAGGTAAACTCCAAAAATATAAATAAAAAACGTAATAGATATTTCTTGATTATAGGGCGATACGAAGTTCGCCAGGTCTTCTAGTATGTCTATATATATATGTAACTATCAAAGTCTATAAATTATGTGACGTTTCTTTATACGCTTTTTAATTATACTATAATCACAATTACTATAAGAAATTTTTGGTTAATTTATATCCTATGTTTTATTCTGATTTCTAAGCTACATTATTGTAAAGTTTCATCAAAATATGTTGAATATTTTTTTGGATAAAGACTAACAAACATCGATGTATATCAGTAGGATAATATTATTTTTCTATTATACTATGACCCACAACTAATTCGCTTCTATTTACTTAATTGAGTCTCTATGACTCATTTTACCTCATTATTGATCATTATATATATATAATTTCGTGCGTCAGTATGTAAATCAATCAAATAACTTAAATATTCACGAAAAGGATTTATTTATATATATTTTTTCCTGTTTTTCCTTTCTTTGTTCCGATTCACCTCTGTACCAGAAATGTCTTCTTCTTCTTCCTGGCAATTTGCCCTGCTTTAGCCAGGGTCTGCCTTACATGTTGTAATAGTTTTGGCTAATTGTTTTTACGACCGGCCGCCTGCCTGACATCAACCCTCTTTGGGAATGCATTTTGCATGTGTTTCTTGATTTCCATTTATCTGCCAGAAATTTCTGTTAAAAAGACCAAATCTATTAAAATACTTACCACGAGTCTACATCGTTACTACACACGACGCGTCTCCCGTTTCTCATACAATAGTACGTTAATACTATTTGAGAAGATATTAATGAAATACTGTTGACGCTACGTATGTAGTGTGTCAATGTTCTTGATTATTTATTATAAAAATATAATTTAAGACACAAATAGTTGCTTTTTGATAAAACTGAGGTTGAGGCGAAACGTGGGCTTGTCACTGATAAGATTTGAACATTTCGAAATACTTGTAGGAGTTTAGATAAACTATTTGGTAACTAAATATATTTTTAATTAGAAATAGTTATTAAAACTAGTCTATTTATAAACATAATATATAGAGATAGACCAGTGCCGATAGCTTTTAAAACATAATTAAATTAAAGTAGAATGAAACTCATTAGAAGAGGAGGGCAATATTATAAAAATTAAAGGAAAAATAATTTAAGCGCGATCTGAGGTCGGGAAGGGTATGGGGATGGGTATTTAAGGGTAAAAATGGGTTTTCACGATTTCCAGCAAAACTAAAAGTTTTACGGAAAAATGTTATATGGCAAAGTTGTAGGTAATAAAAAGGTCTAAAACTTTTGTACTAACATTTTTTTCACATAACCTAAAAATTTATGTGATAAATTCGAAAAACCGAGTTTTTGGTTTTTTATTTTTATCTCTTACAAAAAACAATTTTTTGTCACGAAATTTGGTAAAAACTTTCCTTTTGATGTTACAAATACACTGTAATTTATTTGATTAGAAATATTTATTTTTTCAGCTTATTTTGAATAAATACCGAAATATCAGCTATTTTCAAAAATTTGGTATGTTTTCAATTTGTTGAAATCTCTATTTTCCGATGGTGAAGAAAAAAATATAAATTTCGTACTCGCAGTACCATTTTTGGATAAAATAATCATGTCCCTTTTAATGAAATGACACTCGATATCGTTTGGAAAATACTCTTTCAATTTATTTATATCCTTTCTAATGGGTTTCATTCTACTATAATTTATTTTCACTTTTCATCATTTTTATAGGCATCTGCACTGGCCTAAGATGTCTTCCTTTAATTAAAAAGAAAGTCGTGTTAGTTACACTATTTATAATTCAAGAACGACTGTACCGGTTTTGATGAAGATTGGTTGAGAGATAGATTAGAACATAGAAAGGACATAGGATATTTAATTTTCTTCGATTGAAAAAAAACTTAATAAACTCCAATATCTTGTTATTTACGGCCTCTAGGTCGGAATATAGTTCGCCCTGTCAGCTATACATATATTACTAAGGACGAAATTAACGCAGACGAAGTCGCGGACAAACCCTAGTTTAATAAAGTTATTTGTTTTTGACATACAATTACTTATAAGCTCCAAAGTCTACGTTTTTAATGACGTGAGTCATTCACGTATAATTTTTTTGCTATAATGACAAAAAAACCGAACGAAGTAGCGTGCGTTAGCTAGTTCATATTACATTCACATCTCGTCTTAATGATCACGGTAGCTGAAAAGTAACCGAAACGTCGGTAGTATGTAGTTAAGAGACGAAACCTCTCATCATTCAATGTATTCACCATACGGGTGCGGGTCCATCGTTGTAGTGAGAGGAGCTTCAACAGTGACTGGGACTTGTGACCCAGGTGTAGGTTTAATATATATAGAGAGACGAAACCTCTCATCATTCAATGTATTCACGGTGCGTGTGTCGGGTCCATCGTTGTAGTGAGAGGAGCTTCAACAGTGACTGGGACTTGTGACCCAGGTGTAGGTTTAATATATATAGAGAGACGAAACCTCTCATCATTCAATGTATTCACGGTGCGTGTGTCGGGTCCATCGTTGTAGTGAGAGGAGCTTCAACAGTGACTGGGACTTGTGACCCAGGTGTAGGTTTAATATATATAGAGAGACGAAACCTCTCATCATTCAATGTATTCACGGTGCGTGTGTCGGGTCCATCGTTGTAGTGAGAGGAGCTTCAACAGTGACTGGGACTTGTGACCCAGGTGTAGGTTTAATATATATAGAGAGACGAAACCTCTCATCATTCAATGTATTCACGGTGCGTGTGTCGGGTCCATCGTTGTAGTGAGAGGAGCTTCAACAGTGACTGGGACTTGTGACCCAGGTGTCGGTTTAATATATATAGAGAGACGAAACCTCTCATCATTCAATGTATTCACGGTGCGTGTGTCGGGTCCATCGTTGTAGTGAGAGGAGCTTCAACAGTGACTGGGCCTTGTGACCCAGGTGTAGGTTTAATATATATAGAGAGACGAAACCTCTCATCATTCAATGTATTCACGGTGCGTGTGTCGGGTCCATCGTTGTAGTGAGAGGAGCTTCAACAGTGACTGGGACTTGTGACCCAGGTGTAGGTTTAATATATATAGAGAGACGAAACCTCTCATCATTCAATGTATTCACGGTGCGTGTGTCGGGTCCATCGTTGTAGTGAGAGGAGCTTCAACAGTGACTGGGACTTGTGACCCAGGTGTAGGTTTAAGGGACACTATCTAACGCGTGTTAAAATAATAAAATACGCTTAGTAATCCGAATAATATTAGTTTCATTAAAATAGTTCAAATTATCTTGATTAATTTTAATTATATATATAATTTATTTCGTTCGAGTTACCTTCTAAAACTGATAGTAGTTTCAACGTTATAAAAGTGTGAACAAGTCTCCTCAAGACGCTGTTCCTTTGTTACATCCACAATGAAAGGACTCCGAGCTTGTGTATTGTTTGTCACTCTAAATATCCTCAACAAAGTAGATGGAGGTGAGTTTTTTGTTAAAAAACAGTAAAAAACGACTTTATAATTAAAATAAAAAAACGACTTTATAATTAGAATTACATTTTTATGTTAATAATTTTGAATTAAAAATGAATTAAACAAAAGAATTATTGATAATGTTTCCTTGTAGTTTGTTAAATATTTGTTATTTTTTGCAATAAATCGACCATAATGTATTGATTTACTGACCTACTTTAATATTTCTATTGTTCAAGGAAAAGTAGTAAAAGTTTTTTTATAATTATTTAAATGAAACTAATGTTTTCGGATTTACTAAGTGATTGTCATTTTTCAATTACTTTATAGATTTAAGTGTCTGTCAGTCGGTCTTGTTATTTTAAAATTAGGGACTTTAGAAAACAATTATACGTCAAAAAACATTTGGTGGCTTGAAGTAGAAGCTAATCCCCAATAGAATCATTACGTAAGTTTTTATAAGTTTTTATTAACAAATATAGTAAAAATCTAATAGATTTGTATAAAAAAAAGTTAATAATATCTTTTAGAGGTGACTGACTGACGAATTTACTAACTGATAATAGTTTTAATCGTGTATTGCGTTAGATTAACTAGTTGCAAGGTTATTAGGACGATAGTTTTTAATTTACTAGACTAGATGGCGCTGTTTTAAATGTACTAATTGTCGTGAGTATTGGAAATTAATAAAAATTAATTAGGATACTTTATGTAAATATAGAAAATGTATATATTATATTAAAAAATAAAAAGGGTATCATAATTAAATAGAATATAAATACAGTATTAAGTTTTTTGACAAAAATTCTATGTTGGCTGTATGAATGAGTTATACAGACTTTCATAAGACCTCCTTGGAGTATCTTATATATTGCAATACAAACCAAAATTTAAAAAGATATAAAGTAATAACTTTGTTTTTCAAATTAATATTTAATAATTATTTCCAGGCTGCAATCTATCATTAAAAAGGGATTTTCCAAGGACGTCAGTTGTATATATACGTCACGGCCGCCTCCTGTCACCGGACCCTGTCAGCGGCGACGTTCAGCTGAGACGTTCAGAAACACTGCAAGTAGCATGTCCGGGAGAACAGAAATATATTGTGTTAAGCAATAAAACAACAAATCAAAGCTTACTTGTGAGTATTTAAATAATATTTTTATATATATATTTATATATAAAGAACTAGCTTTCCACCCACAGCTTCGCCCGCATTGAGTTCGGTTATATCGCGTTTCCAAGAGAACCTTTCCAAAGTCTGGGATAAAAACTATCCTATGTTCTTTCTCAAGGTCAACTCTATGTCTGTACCAAATTTCATCTAAATCAGTTCAGTGGTTTAGTCGTGAAAGCGTAACAGACAGACAGACAAGCAGAGTTACTTTCGCATTTATAATATTAGTAGGGACTTTATTTAGTAATTATACAAATTTGTCTTTAATGGAGTTAGCAATTATTGTGCAAGTTATTTTATTACATTCATAAATAAACGTTGTTAAGATAATGAGATCTGAGATTTTTGCGAGTCATTTAAATGAAACTAATATTATTTGGATTATTACACGTATTTTAATATTTTGACTACATACTCCCGACGTTTCGGTTACTTTGCAGCAACCGTAATCACGGGCAGAGGAGATAAAAAGGCATTTAAAATAATAAAAAAACACGTAGTAAATCCGAAAACATTAGTTTTATTCACTTGTAAAGTACTCCATAATTAATATTATATATAATAGTTAATTGAAAATCAACCAATACTTCCAGGACGTGAAATGCGTTTCAAATAATTTGTTCCGCGTCACTAAATTATCATGGATCGGAAACTTCAGCGAGATCAAATGTAACGCGCCGCCCTGGACCAGCGCTGAGGAGGTTGGGGATTGTGGAGTCGGATCTAAGTATTATAAGTATGTGATATACTAGTATATCTTCTTCTTCTTCTACCTGCCAATTTCCCAGCTTAAGCCAGGGTCTGTCTTACATGTTGTGAATATTTGACTATTTGTTTTTACGACCGGCCGCCTGCCTGACATCAAACCTCTTTTTGGGAATTAGCATTAATCATCAGTCTAAATACTCTTAGAAAGTACATATGACTCGGAAAAATCTCATTGGTACTTGCCAGGATCGAACCCGCGCCCTCGTGCTTGAGAGGTGGGCCTTTTAATCACTAGGCCACCACTGACTTTGTGATATTCTAGTATATATGTATATAGATATTACTTATTTACTTGATGGATAATGATGAAGGGTAGAATAAATAGGATTTATTTTGGAGTATGTCTAAGGTCTACATTCTTTTTGGTATACTTTCATTTTGTTATTTTTGGATAGGATTTCTTTTTGGGTAAGTCTTGTTTTAACGAATGTATATTTTTTTTTTGGTATCTTTTCACTTTTTGTATTTAGTTGTTAAATATTATAGAAGTATTTAATTGTTTACTTGCTGTACTGTCTTGTGGAAAACAATTAATTAGAAATTATTTTAAGATATTATTTTTAGACAACTTCATTCGAAAGAAAATGATCTTTAGTGTGTAAGCTTACATTTAAAAACATACTATGTATATAGCAATATAATATGGCTATCTAGAAAATTATCTGAATTCAATCCAAAATATTAGTTAAAAGATACATATAGCAAATTGTTTTGTGTCGTAATTATGCCAAAATATATTATGTTATTTATATTTAATAAAAATAATATACCATTAATAGCAACATAATATAATATTCGTGTTTTTAGAATAGGGTACAAGGTGTCAGGTCATTTCCACGGCCTGTACGAGGCGTGTTTCAACAAAGATCTCCTAAGCACTCTTTATGTGAAGCAGGAGTTGGCTCCAGGGAGTATCTTCATTCAGTCAGGAGGAAGACCCAACTTTGTGGGTTAGTTAGTGATAATCCTACTAATATTATAATTGCGAAAGTTTGTGAGTGTGTGTGTATGTTTGTTACTTCTTCACGCTACAACAACAGAACCGATTTTGATAAAATTTTGTATACACGAAGCTGACCTCCAGGAATAACGTATAGGCTACTTTACATCCCGGAAATCCGCGGGTAACAATGCGAGGCGCAGATAGTTAAACATAATTTTAATGTTTTAGTTACTGGACTTACAAAAAAAGTATATAAAGATGTTTCTTTAAAAAAAAAAAAATGTGAAAATTATTTTTGGTCCTTTTTGCTAAAACATCAAAACAGCCTAAAAGTGCTTTTTTATATGTTATGTTGTTTTTGGATTAATATTACGAGTAGCACCGCGTTATAAGTTTAGTATTATGTACTATATAAAGTTATCGAATATTCTAGAAAACGATTTCTTCGGTAAAGTGAAGATGTCCAAGCTGTATCACCTCAAAAATCAGAAGACGAGATTCAAACAAGTCTTAGGAGATGGGAAGGAAGAGGAATACTTGACTAAAAACCAGGTAAAATAAAATTACATTGAATATATTGAACCAACTTAAAATAAAAAGAAGATTTAAATGAAACTAATATTTTTCGGATATACTATAGTGCGTTTGATTTAAGCTGAGCTTTGCATTTGTGTGTACACACAGATAGTGTAGGTGTGATGACAAATTTATGAATGCCACGTTCTTTTCTAGTTTTGAACCGGTTTATTCTGCTTCCACTCCGCCCCGCACCTACCTCACTTCACCCTTTGTACTGGTAGAAAAATCAAATGTAAACGCAATGTCAACTGAAGAAGAATTTGTATAGTTTTTCAAAATTTTTATTAAATAATATTTTTTTTTTTTTTATAATATTCATAAAATTCCCATGTTGCCTTTTACAAGTTTTGCTTATTTTTATGTTTAAAGTTTTTGTCTAGCTCTACTTTTAATTTCACTCACACAAATGCAAAGCTCAGCTTAAGTCTAACGGACTATACCCGACTTTATTTTTTGTAAAAAACTACATACTTCCGAAGTTTCGGCTACTTTACAGCAACCGTGATCATTAAGACGAGATGTGAATGTCACAAATAAGGTTCTTAATTTGACAAATTGGCTGTTTTTTGGTCGTATCTTGGTTAAATCTTACTTAATTTTTGCCTGTTAAATAATGAATTTGTTTAAGTTACTGAAATGTCATTAATTTGAGTCTATGTTTGATATTTTTTATTATACTTGATTACTTGTTGCTTAATATTATTTACTTTCGCGAACATTCATTTAAATGAAACTAATATTATTCGCATTACGCGTATTTTATTATTTTTAACTACATAGACCCGACGTTTAGGTTACTTTGCAGCAACCGTGATCATTAAGACGAGACGAGGACTATGTAGTTTTTTAAATAATAAAAAAGTAACCCGGATAATATTAGTTTCAATTAAATGAATACTCACGAAAGTCTTAGATCTCACAATGTATCCCTACTAATATTATAAATGCGAAAGTAAATCTGTCTGTCTGTCTGTTACGCTTTCACGCCTAAACCACTAAACTGATTTTAATGAAATTTGGTACAGAGATAGAGTTGACCTTGAGAAAGAACATGGCATAGTTTTTATTCCAGACTTTTGAAAGGTTCTTTTGGAAACGCGATATAACCGAACTCCACTCCCGAAGCTGCGGGCGGAAAGCTAGTAATATATATTCCTCTTCTTTCTAAGAGTTCTAATGTAATTTTGAGTAAAGACGCCTGCTTATCTACATAGTATCAGTTTGTCACTCACTTTGTATATATGTGTGTTATACCTAATGTTCTCTACCCCTGTCTAGTATCTGACCCGTGGACATCTCTCCCCCCGGGCCGACCACTCCCTGCTCTGTTCCCAGCGCGCGTCCTTTCTATATCTGAACACAGCTCCTCAATGGAGACGAGGCAACGCTGGTGATTGGGCCGCCTTGGAAGAGGTCAGTAATTTATTACTCAAAACATTGATCAACATTTGCTTTAACTAGTTTTGTCATGTCAAGAGACGTTATTGTATATTGTAGCCTAACATGAAATGACATAAAGCTAGCTGTAGTAAGCCAGAAAGTAAAGAAGAAATAAATCATCCGTGTAACTTTGAAATTCTGTAACTCTTCATTAATCCTCGCACATAACGTAGATATGAATGGAAAACGGAAAACTGCTAGAATTTAGTCTGGTACCATCTTTTAGTGAATATATATTTCTTTATTTTAATACTGCAACGCCTTGGTATATTTTAAATGCTTCCCAAGCCACATAAATATTATATAAATGTCTAATTGGGAATTGAATCCACGACCTGTATTAAAACTATTTCATCTTCATTATTTTATTTGTGTGTTTAAATATTCTTGTTTATTGAAAGTTATTATTGGTAATTACTGGGAAGATCATAGCAAAATTTGATACATATATTTATTCTACATAGTTTAAAATTTATTTTTCTATATAATATCTTGTGTTCAGGCTCTACGTCGCAGAGTCCACAGCTACGGCAGTCCAGTGACGGTCTACACTGGCACCTTCGGAGTCTCTACCCTGGGAGACTCTTCTTCCAAACAACAGGAGCTGTTCCTCAGCGTGGATCAGAATAATAACGGGATCCTGCCCGTGCCGCTATATTACTATAAGGTAGGGTTACCCAACTTATAATGTCTTTGACCAGACGAGGTTCTATGTTCTATAGACCAGTTATATGGAGCGGGTTTATAAACACATTATATACCTAGGACCACCAATATCACGTTTAGTTGTTGTACACGGAACACATGTACTAATAACGGTCCGCTACTGAAGGTGGCACTTCACTTGGCGTTTATGTTATGTTCGGCCAAATAAGATCATGTGTGGATGATTTATTCGTCTTCATTTAACATATTGACACAAATAACACACATATACAAATAAGCGAAAACGCGTAAAGACGTTGTTGGCATGCCAAGTGTGGATGTCGTGTTTGAGCTATTTGGACTACTTTCAAATATTTGGACAAATACAGCGAATACACAACGCCAAGTGAAGTGTCACCTTGACAGTTGACACGATGAGGACGCTTCATACAACTTACATTGAGCTTTGTTTTTTTAGCAACCAAGGAAAAAATGCTAAAATGCATCTCTTAAAATCCATTTTTTATTAATTATTTTTAACATTTCTTCTTGAAGGTTGTGTATGACGCTAAAAACAAGACGGCGGTGTCATTCATATCAATCAACTCGTCCTACTACAACCAAACCATGATTAAGAAGCTGGTCTTCTGCGAAGATATCTGCGGCAGCAGCCTCTACTCCTGGCTGAAGTGGAGATCAAACGACGGCACACACAGCTTCTGCTGCGAATACCATGACTTCATCAAAACAGTTCATGACCTGCCCAAAATGAAGGTGGAAGCATTATTTTATTGAAGATGTGTCATCAGCCTATCAGGAGCCCAATAATTATTGAAGATATTAAAATATTCTATCATCGAAGTTGAGAGCTTTAAAGCTTGTAGATTCACCCTATCTGTTACAAAATATACGCTTTAGATGTCCTAAAATTAATACACGTCATCAGTCCCTTTTTCATCTACCTGTCACAAATACCAAATATGCTCAAAATACTTTTATTTTCTGTGCCTGTGATAAATATAATAAATGTTTTTCAAATATAGATTTAACAATGTGCACAAAAAATAATATAAGGAAAGAAATCAGTAAAGCTTGTAATTCGTAATTAATTTATTTTTAAAATTATTATTATTATTATTACCTATTATTATTGTTTTATTAATTTATTTATCTCATGCTTTCTTTTTTTAATAATTTTCTCCACTCTCATTGATCATGTTACTATTTAGGTCCAAATGAAATTGTAATCGGTGGAAGCTTTTTGGTTTGTGTACTTTTGTATATATTATTTTGATTGATTGTTTAATAATGTTTGTTTCCCAAAAAAAATAAAATAAAATAAAAATAGAAAATAATTGAAACTAATATTTATCGGATGTACTACGCAACTTTATTTTTGATTATAAACTACATACTCCCTCGTTTCGGTTACTTTACAGCAACCATGATCATTAAGACGAAATGAAAAATCGCGTAGTAAATCCGAAAATATTAGTTTCATTTAAATTGGAACAATATTATATTCATGAAATTGAAATATCTTGAATTTAAATAAATAAATCAAAATGAAATTAACTTGGCCAATAGTCAATTTAATATTGTGAATTATTTCTGATAGTTTTGATTGATTTTGAATTAAATTATTCAGTTTGTTAATAAATGATAAATTACTAAACAGATTGTGATATAACTTTACAGTGGTGTAGCTCATGTATTCGATAAAATAGAAGTAAGCGTATCATATATACAGGGTGACTGGTGAATTACTATCAATATTTAAGGAGAATACTCGGTACATGATTCTCATTCAAATTATGTAAAAAAAATAGGCACTTAATTTTTGACAAAATTTCCGTATAAATAAATAAAGTGTTGACACGTTCCAAGTGTTCCAAGTGTGGACACGTGCGGCGGCGTGCTGATACAACACTACGCCGCCGCACGCGTATGTGTGTGTGAGTGTATACCTAATCTGTAGGGTGTGCACACGATGCGTAATTAATTACAAACTTTTGGTTAACTTTACTTAGAAGTTTATTAATATTTATGTTATATTAATTTTTATTTTGTCATATATGATCGTCAAATATCACGTCCTCAAGTATCGATAGTAATTCACCAGTCACCCTGTATAGTGACTGCCGATGACATCAAAGTAAAATTATATGAAAAAGTAATTAAGTTATTTATTTAATTTTAATTACAAATATTATGTTAAATAATATTTAAACTTTCATTTAATTTGTTTCAAAATACGCATAGCGTAAATGTGTGTGAATCTGTTTATTTGTGTGTGTGTGTATGTGTGTAAATGTATATCTGTAAAATCTTTGAAATATATAAACTTCCACTGATTTTGATATGTAAGTAATTATATATCAAATAACAGTAATATAAGTATTGTCATCTGTTTTATTTAAAAACTTATTTAACATACTTTATAATATTAAAATAAATTTCAAATTTCAATGTATATAATAATCTTGTTTAGTAAATTGATATATAAATTGTATAAATATTATAAGTACACCTAAAAGTAAGATTTTTTTAATGGTCTTTAACAATGAAATAAAATTAATTTATTGTCTTAATTTTTATTATAACTTTACTTATGTTCCATTTACATTATAATTTCTATCAAAATAATTACTTATAATAAAAAGAACTTGTAATTAATTAAAAAGATATAAATTTTTAAGAGTAGTTGTTAAACATTGTGAGTTGCATGAAATAAAAGACTTAAGCCATGAATACTTATATATTATCATTTAATTTACTTAATAATTAATTTTTTTTTGTATTTTTTTACAATACAGGCTTTTAGCCTGATAATATACATATATTTAGGATTCTAAGAAATCATTAATAAATATAGTTGCCGTATAAAGTCAGTGCTTTTAAATAACAAATAAAACCTCAATTAGAACAAACTAATTATTATCTTAAACCACAACACCTTTAATAAGTTAAATTCAATTTACAAACACACGAAAATACTTTCCCTCGTAAAAATTAACAAACCAAACGTCATTTCTTAACGTCACTTAGAGTGTGTTCGGGAATTTAGAGGTTCGGTTCAAATTAAATATGTTCACTAAATATACAGGGTGACTGGTGCATTACTATCGATATTTAAGGAGAATACTCGGTACATGATTCTCATTCGAATTATGTAAAAAAAAATAGGTACTTAATTTTTGACCAAATTTCCGTATAAATAAATAACCGTGGACACATTCTAAGTGTTCCAAGTGTGGACGCGTGCGGCGGCGTGCTGATACAACACCACGCCGCAGCACGCGTGTGTGTGTGTGTGTGTGTATACCTAATCTGTAGGGTGTTCACACGATGCGTAATTAATTACATAACTTTTGGTTAACTTTACTTAAAAGTTTATTAATATTTATGTTATATTAATTTTTATTTTGTCATATATGATCGTCAAATATCACGTCCTCAAATATCGATAGTAATTCACCAGTCACCCTGTATAATGAGATCTTTTTTTGACAATAATTGAAATTAAAAATATAGCTTGGTATTTAAGCTTGTGTGGATCTTATTTTCTCCTCATGGCGTCCCTCTGTATTATTCTTCTCCCTTCTCTTCTCATCTTATGTTTTTCTTCTATCATGTCTCCTTTCCATGAGTAGCTTTTCTTTTAACAACTTTATCAGCCGTCTCTTGTCGTTAAGTGCTCTCAAATAGTCCATCATGACCTGGTCTCTTAGAGATCTCTCCCATACAATCTGATAACAATAATTATATAGCTGTTCATTTTATATGCTAAATTCTACGTAAGGTATACATTTGTGTTTTTGTTATACAAGAAAATTATTATATTTTAAATTAAAGAAAATAGTTCTGAATTAAAGTGTTATTGTTCTAAATATTTGTTAAATATTGGCATATAAGAAATGCGATTTATTATTAAAAAGTAAAAAGTTTTTCATTAACAGCCAAAAACAGATTGACATGTGCAAAATATTAATAGCAGAATTCGCGGCTTAAAAGTTACTATGTAATCAAATTTTACACATATTAGTTCTTTGTGTTTCAATAATTCGAATAAATTTGAAAAAGACTTATTAAAATGATGCGCTCTGAACTTAAAACGTCATTTAAAAATTGACAAATATTTTATGAAAAAACTTTATGTACTTATAGCGCCATATTGATTATTGTAAGACGACCAAAAATTAAGACGAAACCTCTCATCATTCCATGTATTCACGGTGCGTGTGTCGGGTCCATCGTTGTAGTGAGAGGAGCTTCAACAGTGACTGGGACTTGTGACCCAGGTGTAGGTTTAATATATATAGAGAGACGAAACCTCTCATCATTCCATGTATTCACGGTGCGTGTGTCGGGTCCATCGTTGTAGTGAGAGGAGCTTCAACAGTGACTGGGACTTGTGACCCAGGTGTAGGTTTAATATATATAGAGAGACGAAACCTCTCATCATTCAATGTATTCACGGTGCGTGTGTCGGGTCCATCGTTGTAGTGAGAGGAGCTTCAACAGTGACTGGGACTTGTGACCCAGGTGTAGGTTTAATATATATAGAGAGACGAAACCTCTCATCATTCCATGTATTCACGGTGCGTGTGTCGGGTCCATCGTTGTAGTGAGAGGAGCTTCAACAGTGACTGGGACTTGTGACCCAGGTGTAGGTTTAATATATATAGAGAGACGAAACCTCTCATCATTCAATGTATTCACGGTGCGTGTGTCGGGTCCATCGTTGTAGTGAGAGGAGCTTCAACAGTGACTGGGACTTGTGACCCAGGTGTAGGTTTAATATATATAGAGAGACGAAACCTCTCATCATTCAATGTATTCACGGTGCGTGTGTCGGGTCCATCGTTGTAGTGAGAGGAGCTTCAACAGTGACTGGGACTTGTGACCCAGGTGTAGGTTTAATATATATAGAGAGACGAAACCTCTCATCATTCCATGTATTCACGGTGCGTGTGTCGGGTCCATCGTTGTAGTGAGAGGAGCTTCAACAGTGACTGGGACTTGTGACCCAGGTGTAGGTTTAATATATATAGAGAGACGAAACCTCTCATCATTCAATGTATTCACGGTGCGTGTGTCGGGTCCATCGTTGTAGTGAGAGGAGCTTCAACAGTGACTGGGACTTGTGACCCAGGTGTAGGTTTAATATATATAGAGAGACGAAACCTCTCATCATTCCATGTATTCACGGTGCGTGTGTCGGGTCCATCGTTGTAGTGAGAGGAGCTTCAACAGTGACTGGGACTTGTGACCCAGGTGTAGGTTTAATATATATAGAGAGACGAAACCTCTCATCATTCAATGTATTCACGGTGCGTGTGTCGGGTCCATCGTTGTAGTGAGAGGAGCTTCAACAGTGACTGGGACTTGTGACCCAGGTGTAGGTTTAATATATATAGAGAGACGAAACCTCTCATCATTCCATGTATTCACGGTGCGTGTGTCTGGTCCATCGTTGTAGTGAGAGGAGTTTCAACAGTGACTGGGACTTGTGACCCAGGTGTAGGTTTAAGGGACACTATCTAACGCGTTAAACGATCACATAAAATACATGGAATGATGAGAAGTTGCGTCATTGATCCAAGTACAAGATCAAAATTGCTTATATCATATTTACGTACCTTCTTCGGTAAGTGCAAAGTGGGTGTACTTTTAAACTTCATCCGGCGAGGTTTTGTCTGTCTGAAGCAGTCGTCAGTGAAGTGTCTGGAGCATATAACGCTGTCCTGGGAAGGTTTCCAGTCTTCATCATCATTCTTACAAGCATCTATCCACGTGTCTCTTATATTTTGACACTTCGGGAATCTGAAACGAAGAAATTATTGAATATTATTGAAGTGTCGAAAGAGAGAGAGAGAGCGATTGAGAAAGAGTGAGACAGAACGAACGACGCACCACGAACAGTGCAAAGAAGCTTCACTTCTGACATGTGTACTCTGTACGCACGCATTTTTTTAATTATACTTTTTTGGCGCGATTTGGCACAGACAGCAACATCGTGAAGTTAGTTCTAGGTGGCATGTTAATATATAGCTATGTTCAAATCGTATATTATATTATTTTTATACATATTTAGTAACAGTACTATTAATAGTGTTAATAAATAAATATTATTTTGGTGTTTTTATGTTTTACCGCTCTGGATACGAGTATTTTGAGCCTTGAATATTTAATATTATGTTTGTGTTGCCAGGATTTATTTGTACTATATTTCTGAACGTAAAAAGAAAGAAATTTATTTTCTATTTAATTAATAACCACAGTATGCCTACATCAATAATAGTGACATTATTTACGCCTTTTTAGTTTTTAATTCAAAATTATTCTCACATTATAGTATTGTGACAATGGAGACTTAACCTAAGCAAACTGAATTTTTACAACAAAACAGCATTAGGTATAAATATTGTATGATCTTTCTTCTTCCTAGCAATTTCCCATCTTCAGCCAGGGTCTGCCTTACATGTTGTGAATAGTTTTGGCTAATTGTTTTTACGACCGGCCCCCTGGCTGACATCAACCCTCTTTGGGAATATCATTGTAAGTTGTAAAGTAACTCTAACTCCACGTTTTTTTAACTTACGTATGAAATGTTACATCTTCTCCGTTTTCTGTACAATTCTCTGACGTTGAATCGCACCAATTCACTGAGCATTTTAATATCTGTGACATATTTTTTATAATTTTAATCAAATATGGAGTCAAACCTTCGAAGTGTATATATCGATCGTATATTTGACGCATGCGTTCTCACTTGACTAAGTACGTACGATGTATAGATAAATATTGTAAATAATATAATATGATTTGTCTATCAAAAGCACAGTTCTTATATTTTAAGAATATATAGAAAATGACGATTAATTTAAAAAAAATTAGTATTGAATATATGTATACAAATGGCAACACTAAGTAAAACATCAAACTTTCTTTCGTATTCAGAGAGTTTAAAACATTTACAAAAATACTTTAAACTTATTTGTCACTTCTTTATTGACAATAATTACTTAATAATTGTCTGGTAATTATAATTTACAATATACAAAAGTCTTCCAATAAATAAAAACGTTGACATTAGCAAGATATTAAACGATCCAATACGAATGAAGCCTTAGTATATGTATAATATCTAATGAATTACGTATAATAAATTCTCTCTTTTAATTATTGTAAGATAATATTGACATAAATCAATAACATCTTGGATAGTAAAATTAAAAATTGACGAATCAATTGTGTAGTAATAGAATGCATGGAATTATGTTTTTTTTATGAAAATCAAGTTGAATATATTGTAATGTACTTGGTTAATTATGGAGTCTCGTAATGTTGAACTTAATAGCAAAAATAAGGCAGCCGAAGTCGCAGAGAAAACTAGTATTAAACCGAATTTACCATGAGTTCTATCGTTAAACTTAAATTAGTTAATGTACCATTTTTACATTGTATTGTCTGAGACTAGAAACTATTTGTCTTTAGTTAAACGTGGAAAACTTCTGGTAAGATTACAAGCTCCTCTAATTTACATTGTCATTCCTTTTACATTATACTAAAGAGTTGTCATAAATTGAAATAAATGCCATCTATCGGATATCACTGAAGTTATTTATTGGTATTTAGTAATTTACAATATTCCTTTTACATACCTAGCACTAAGATTTTATCGAATGTTAAAAATTAACGCCATCTATTGAAAGTCTAGGAAGTTGTTACTTACTGGGACTACACTATATGGAAGAAAAATACCTATAAGGAGTTGAGAACGTTACACTTACCAGTTTTATTTAAATTACTAGCTCTCCACCCGCAGCTTCGCCCGCGTGGACTTCGGTTATATCGCGTTACCAAGAGAACCTTTCAAAAGTCTGGGATAAAAAACTATCCCATGTTCTTTCTCGAGGTCAACTCTACGTCTGTACCAAATTTCATTAAAATCAGTTCAGGGGTTTAGGTGTGAAAGCGTAACAGACAGACAGAGTTACTTTCGCATTTATAATATTAGTAGGGATTTTATGAATGAAATAATGAATACTAGAAAAAAAATAACAGTAGGTAGTCTTGGAATAGGGATTTTATTTCTAAAAATATCAACATCAGGAACTGCTGTCACATAAAAATAGTTCTATCCGGGATAAAGCACTGATACAAGATTCCAGTCTTGATATTTAATGTGATAAATATATATTTTGGACACATTGAGAATATTTCGTAACATCTAGAAGAATTGTTTTAGTATACACGTGGTTCTTAAAAGTTACCTACAAACATTTTTATTAATGATTCATTTCATAATATAAACTTTTACAAATTTCATTCAAATTATTACATTTTACGACTCATAGTAATCGTCGAATAGTAGGCGGGGTCGGAATTTGGTAACTGGTTTACCTGAAGATGGCGGGAAACTATGTTTGGAATGCGGTATCCATCTTAATTCTTATTGGTTAATACCTTACTTGATATCAAGGCTTAGTGTGGATATATACAGCCGAATTAAAATTTCAAAACAGTATTATTTGGATTACATTAGGTTTTGGAATGTATTAAATAAATAAAATAGTTTGCCTTATTACACACCAAATTTTGGTTGGTATTTTATAATTTTCTTTTTATTAAATCAAATAAGAATTTATCTTTTTGTAATTTAAATAACCGTCGGACGCTATGGCAATACGATAACAACTGTCAGACCAATTCTTGTACAACTTACAAGTTTTACAACTTTCTGTGTTACAAAAAACGCCGAATTCTTTTCTTATAAAAAACTTTATTTTTTGTTTTAATAGAGTGTAATCAGTGCCTTAGAGGTTAATTATGTTGTTGAAAACTAACTTTTTGTGAAGTTTTACAGTGTTTTATTACTTTATAGTTGTAAGAAATATTTTTATAAAGTTGTTAAAATGTTATACGTGTAAGTTCTGACTGGGTCAAACTGTGTATTTGATTAGCAGTTAACTGATATACGAAGACTATTTCGCCCGTTCTAAGGTAAGAGGAAATAATTTTGATATAAATTGAAAAACTTTTAAAGTATGAAAATAATTTGAAAGTAACGTAAAATATTTCGTATCGACAAAGGTTTGTTAAGTTAAAGTTGTTATTTTAATACTTAAATAACCTTTGTGAAGTAAATAAACCATTTTATGTATAAATAATTATATTTTTTATTTATTTATAGTTAAAAATAACTTGTGACTTGTGTATTAGATTTCATAAACTTCGTCTAAGTTTAATAACTGCTTCGTCCTTGAGTCTAGAGAAGTAATGATCTGTAGTAAATGAATTCGTCACACCTTTCTACATATATAAAATCAAATTAGACTTTGGATGCAACAAAATTATATGAAAAATATATATTATAAGCTATATTAGTATTAAAATAATATATTATTGACTATAATTATTTCCATTGAACTATCACTCGTTTAGAATATCTATAATATTTAATTTATATAAGACATATAATAATTTTAATATATAATTAAATTTCAGTATATTCTTAAATACAATTTCTTTCATATTAGATTAAAAATATATTATAACTTCATAATTAATAAATATTTTTCATTAAACTAAATAATTAATCTCAATAAAGTCTTATTCTTTCTGGAAATTTCCCAGCCAGGGTCTGTCTTACATGTTGTGAATAGTTTTTGGTTAATTGTTTTTACCGGCCGCCTGCCTGATATCAACCCTCTTTGGGAATGAATCTCACTAAAGTATGGTGTCCTTACTACGAGTGTATATACTTTAACACTGACATTTTCAAGTTAATCATAGATCAGTAAGTACACATATGACACTTTAATAGGTGTGACTGAAATACTATATATGTATAGTTTGACAAACTTGAAATAAAACTACTGTATGTATGTCTTATTCACTAAAATCAGAAGTTCCCAAACTTTCATAACCCACTTTGAAAATAAATTATTTTCTATTACTTCTATTTTGTCACCTACTGTAAGACAAGTATATTATATTAACAAAATGATATTACAAATCATCCCAGTCTTTATACAACACCCCCCATTTTTCTCTGGATCTTTTTCCGATGTTCAGGACTATCTCACAGAAGGGGGCTTTATAATCCATCTGAAAAAAGTTGCTAAAGGTATTAGAAAATAATTGTAAAGCGGAGACCTAGATTATTTGGGAATGCCACCTTTGTAAATGCTATTTCAATTATTTTTTTGTCTTTAACTTAGACATTACTTGACTATCATTCCACTTATATTTATACTTGTAAATGAAATAACAAATCCTTCCTGGCCCTTTAGACATTGCCCCATTTTTCTGAGTCTCTTATCAAGCTTAAGGCCTGCTGTCACCACAATAGCCAATCACTATGGGAAATTCTATCTTAATTCCTGAATACTTCCAAACACCCAAGTTACTATATACTAACTATCTTAGTCAGTCATGTCATAATCATCAGCCTATCAGAGCCCACTGCTGAGCCTCTTCTCACATGGAGAAGGTTTGAGGATTAATCACCACACTCGCTCAAGACGGGTTGGCAATTTCGATCTTATAATTGTGAAATTATGAGTCCACATTTCCTCGCGAAGTTTTCCTTCACCATCTGTCAGTGGTGTCTAAATACTCTTATAAAGTACTATTATCTCAAATAACTTAAGTTATTTAACCAAGTTCAATAAACTTAAAAATATTTAGTTCAAATGTTCATATCATTAAAAATATATTAGAGATGGTTTTATTATTACATTAATTAAATATATAGGTTAATTTGTTTTTTCATCTTAATCTTAATTAAATACAAATAATAATATTCTAATTTTATAATGGATGAAAAATTGTACTGTAACTATTTTGTTCTAACTTTTTAAGTGGTTAAGTCAAGTTTAAAGAGTTGTATTCTTTGGAGTTGGTTTGATGTTAGAAACATTATATATATAGTTTTGTTCGTCTCTAGTTTTGTTCGTCTCAACAGAATCGCTGTATAGATTACTCCAACCTTTTATAGAAATCTGTACATATATAAAGGAAAGTTATGTTAGTTACACTATTTGTAACTCAAGAACGACTGTACGGGTTTGGATGAAGATTGGTGGATATAGATTAGAACATAGAAAGGACATAGGATACTTTTCAACCCATTAGAGCAAAAAAATGTTATAAAATCCAAAAACTGTTTATTTATTGCATATAGAGTGAAATCATTTTTTCTAGACAATTATACATTTCTAATTCTGAACTTAATGCAGACAAAGTCGCAAGAAAAAGCTAGTAATATATATAATCTCCATTTAATAAATAGTTATTAGAATTTTAAGAAACAACAATTTTTGTAAGAATTACCTGTTTAGCGATGAGTGTATTTATATGTGTGATGTTGCAAATGTGTTGCCAGCCTTGATCATGGAAGAGGAAATTTTTGGTAAAGGCAACCGTCTCTCTCACTCATCTGACGAAACGAAAATTAAAGACTAATTGACGCCAATCTCCTGTGAGAGGGTGGTACTTCCCCGGTCGAGCCAGCACATGTTCGAGCTGTAGTAACTTGACCACAGCTAGGCTCTAACATCATGTATTGTTTTTACTTTTACTTTATTAATATACGCAAAAAACGTGGGCGAAGTCGCGCTTATCAGCTAGTACATAATGTGACTAAATATACATATACACCTTATCGTAACACAAACAGACAA